TGGGTTCATGGGTTCATGGGTTCATGGGTTCATGGGTTCATGGGTTTGGGGTTTGTTTGTTTTTGTGTCGGAGGTTTTGGGTTCGGGTGTTGGAGGTTTTGGGTTTGGGTGTTGGAGGTTTTGGGTTTGGGTGTTGGAGGTTGAGGTTTCCGAAGGGATGTGTTTGCAAAGTTTTATTGCTCTTAATATTAAAGTTAGGAGCAAGAGCGGCTATACAACCAGATTTGCTTATCATCGCTGACTTATCTTGAGTTGTTTGGTCTTGTTGCCAATTATTGCAGCTTGTATCTATCTAATGCGAATAAGGATGAAGCCTTCCCTGGTCATGATAATCTTCTTCCATACTCATTTACAAACTTCTCAAGATGTTCTAGGTCCCTAATTAATTATTGGACTTTATCTCTGTTGAGGTTGGCTGTCACTGGAGTTCTCCTTCTTCACAATGTTGTAATTATTTCACTTCCGTGTAGTTTTTCTCACCTTGCTCTATCGTCGGACTCAGTGATTTTTCATTTCAGTGGTCTATTCTAAAAAATTCATTGACATAAGAATCCAAATTCTTCTTGACCTTGAATGATTCCTTTATTTTAAGTTTTTTGCTGATCTCTATCTCCCTAGCTGCAATGGCGGGTTTGCATGCAGCCGTGCTAGCGCAGCAGCGCGAGGAAGAGGAGAATGATCCCGACCTGAGCCGCGTTGTGAACGTAACCATGACGTCTTTGTTTAGCCCCGACGATGGAGAAAGAAGGGCAAGGGACTTTGCTTCGCCTGCTGTGACTGTCACTGGCGGCGGCCTTCGCCTGCCCTCCGCAGAGAAGGCATCTAACAGGCAGATTGGTTTCCCAAAGGCCGTCGCACTGCTCGCAGATGATGTCCTTCATGGGAGGTACCTCTTTCTTCCTTTTCAAAATGGATTGATTGGGATCGCTGTGTGAGTCCGTCTCCGTGCCTGTTGCTCAATATTCATGGTCTCCAGAAGCTTAACACCGAAAAGTGAAAATTCGCGAGTCAACTTCTACTAGCTTGGAGCGTCCGATAACATCCCTCCCACTAGGATCCCCCTCCTCCCCAAAATAAGAAACCAAGCAAGGCAAAGATGTAAGCGATATGCGTTCTCAAATTTCGAAAATTTTCCACGTTTTGCCATCGTTTGAGGATTGGGCCTCGTGCGTTTGAAGTCAAGGGCTAAGATCCCGAAACTTTTTGACTTTATGCCGTTCCGCTGAAATTCAACTTCTTGGATTTGCGTTCTTCAAATTTCGAAAATTCTCCACGTTTTATGGTCGTTCTGGGATTGAATTTTGTGCGTTTGAAGCGCTAAAGTCCCAAAGTTTTTGAATTTCCGCCCTTTCCGCTGATATTCAGTTTCTTGGATTTGCATTTTTCAAATTTCGAAAATTTTCCACGTTTTACGGTCGTTCTGGGGTTGAATTTTGTGCGTTTGAAGCGCTAAAGTCCCAAAACTTTTGAATTTCAGCCCTTTCCCTGCGATTCAGTTTCTTGGATTTGCATTCTTCAAATTTCGAAAATTTTCCACATTTTGGCGCCGTTTTGGGGTTGAATTCTGTGCGTTTGAAGTGCTAAAGTCCCAAAATTTTTGATTTTCAGCCCTTTCCCTGAGATTCAACCTCTTGGCTTCGCGTTTTTCCAATTTCGACAATTTTCCACGTTTTTCGTCGTTTTGGGAGTGAATCCCGTGGGTTTGAAGTGTTGAGATCCCAAAATTTTTGATTTTAAGCCCTCTCCCTGAGATGATTCAACCTCTTGGCTCCGCGTTTTTCAAATTTCGAAAGTTTTCCACCTTTTTCGTCATTTTCAGAGTGAATCGATTGACTTTGAAAGGCTAAGATCCCAAAATTTTTGATTTTAAGCCCTTTCGCTGAAATTTAATTCCTTGGGTTCGCGTTCTCAAATTTCGAAAATTTTCCACGTTTTGGCGTCGTTTTGTGGTTGAGTTTGAAGCGTTAAGATCCTAAAATTTTTGATTTTAAGCCCTTTCCCCCGAAATTCAATTCCGTCGCTTCGTGGTTTCCTGGTTTCGTGGAATTCCTGGCTTCGTGGTTTCATGGTTTCGTGGTTTCGTGGTTTCGTGGTTTCGTGGTTTCATGGTTTCACGGTTTCGCGGTTTCATGGTTTCACGGTTTCATGGTTTCGTGGTTTCATGGTTTCATGGTTTCGTGGTTTCGTGGTTTCGTGGTTTCGTGGTTTCGTGGTTTCGTGGTTTCGTGTCGTGGTTTCGTGTCGTGGTTTCATGTCATGGCTTCGTGGTTTCGTGGTTTCCTGGTTTCATCGGTTCATGGGTTCATGGGTTCGTGGGTTCATGGGTTCATGGGTTCATGGGTTCATGGGTTTGGGGTTTGTTTGTTTTTGTTTCGGAGGTTTTGGGTTCGGAGGTTTTGGGTTCGGGTGTTGGAGGTTTTGGGTTTGGGTGTTGGAGGTTTTGGGTTTGGAGGTTTTGGGTTTGGGTGTTGGAGGTTGAGGTTTCCGAAGGGATGTGTTTGCAAAGTTTTATTGCTCTTAATATTTATTAACTTATCTCTCCTTTTTTTATCCTCTTCTCGCTGCAGGACGAGTCCACCTGGTGACAAGCGTTCCGTGTTGCAAAATGGCGTCTTTGGGGTAGCGCCAGAGATTCTTATGATGTCCGAGAATTCTGCGTTGGAGCGTGACGACCCTGGAGGCGTAGCCTCTGTGGATGATTCCACTTTTCGCGCCACAACTAGTATCTTGCCGCGGACGATCATTACGACGCGTCCGGACACGAGCGGCGGGCTCACTATGGGGTGGGACGGACCCGCTGGAAAGGCGCGAACGAATCTGGATTTGCGCGAAGGTGGAGACTGGACCCCTGGCCACGACGTGATGGATAGCAGTTTGGGTTTCGGCGATCGGGCGTTCACTACAACTACTTCAGGCTCCACGGGGTTTGGAAGCACCTGGCGAAAGGGAAAAAACCCTAGTGCAGCGGGAACTACCACTGCATCGCATGGAAAAAGCCCTCACACGACGGGCACTATCTCACAATTCCTGTGCAGCGGGACAGGAGAAGGGCTCCAAAGTGGTAGCTCAGCTTCCTCCGCCAGCAAACCAGGCAGGGGGAGCCGACATGCTGGATCAAGTCGTGCAGCAGCGAATGCGTTTGCTAATGCCCTGCAGGGCTTGCAAGCACGCAGTACGAGTGCCACGCTACTCTCCAAAGACAGGAGCACGTCGAGTTTGCGGAGCAAGGCCACTTCCTTGCTCAACGCGACCGCCTCACCTCCATCTATGTCTTCGCGGATACCTCGCGGGGCTCGCGCTAGTGGAAGAAAACGGCGAAAAAAGAAGAAGCAGGAAGATGAAGGAGCTGGCTACAACGGCTCCACCACACCAACCAAAGGCTTTTCTGCGGACGAAGGAGGTGCGGCAGACCCTTCTCAGAAGGAAGGTCAGATGAATGATCAGGAGCACGACCAAAGCGACGCTAGTAGCGAAGAGGGCGAGGGAGAAGGCTGCGACGGTCACGAAGAGACTGTTCCAGATGGTGAGGGGACCGTTCAAGGAGACAATGAGGCGGAAAACGTACGGGGTTCCAAGCCATTCGTCGACGAACAAAATCGAAAGCGGAGTGATGCCGTGAAACGTCAAGACGCCGATAACAGTACGACAGCCGATTCGGCGTCCCGTGCTGTCAACGATGACGGAGACAGTAGTTCAGCATCCTCCTCCGCAGATGACGATAATCATCTCACGGGTGAGGCGGAATTGGATGACGTTGACGATACGCGAGAGGAACTGGAGGACGGTGAAGATGATGAAGGGGGTCTCGACGAATCAAACGCCCTTGCGGACAATGAAGATGCAGGGTCGGGGTCAGCCACCGGCGCAGCGCCCAAGAAGAAGAAGCGTCGAAGACGAAGACGGAAGGGTGTTGTTGGAGGAGAGGCTTTCCGCTGTATCGGTATTGCGGCGCTGGCGTCAACACAAGCAAGCCGCGCTCGGGCGCAGTCTTGCGCGGAGAACATAGCTCGTCGTGAAGCGGACAAAAAAACAGAGGAAAACGTGAAGCCGAAAAACAAGTTCCAAAACGCTGTGTCCGCGATCATCAATAAAAATAAGCGAGGAGAAGACCAGCAGCAAACGGCATCCACGTCGACAGTTTTCGTAGCATTCTCTTCAATATCTGCTCGGTCAAAGGTGCCCGTAATTGAAGCAGGAGAATCGGACAAGGACCTGGCCGATAAAGCGCGTGCTGAAGGCACAGCCGTTGATAGTACAGATCCGCGTGTATCAGGGGGAACTGTTGTGGGAGACAACAGCTCAAATTCATCTGGGACGGAAGCTGGAACGGAAAAGCCTTCCGAGGGTGATGCGCCTGCGACGGTCGCTCAGTCGTCCTCTTCTTCAGCTGTTTCAGAACCAGGGGGCGTAGCAGGAGGAGATGAGAAGCATGTGGCGACTACAGCTGGGAGTGCGTTCTTAGCTGATTCGATTTCCGTTGCTGCGAAAGCGAATCGACCAAATGAGAAGAAGAACCCTCGTCTTGCAACGTCTCAGCGAGAGCCTATCAAGCAGGACAAGGCCAGAAAGGCAGCTAGCTATGTCAATATTCATGGCAATGCTCCGGCTCAGGCAGTAGTTCCAGTGCGGTCGAATTTACCAACGGCTGATATGGGGCTCATCATGATAAGAGCGGTAGGCGGTTCGGGCAGTTCCGCAGCACCTCCTGACTGTCAAAACGCCACGGCGGACGATCCGAAGCGTTCAGGAGAAGAGAGCGTCGCGGCCTCTACTTTTAAGCCCGGAGGGGGTGAGGAGAGGACACATAGGCGAGGCGGCAGAAACGCTTCAATAGACCAGAATGGGAATGGCGACGGGGGAACCGTTTCTACAGCACCGACCTCAACCGAAACTAGTAGCGGTACAACAAACCCGGCTGGTGCTGTCGTGCAAAAAGGGGGTAGCACCGGTGCCAGCGCGTCTTCTGCGTCGTCCTCTAGCTTTCGAGGCGGTGTTCAGCTGCCAGACATCAACGCCGGAAGGTCACCTGTCGTCCGCGGCTCAAAAGCACCCAAGAACCGCGGCACTGCTGCAGAACAAGCAAAAAATGTCTCAGTTCGGCGAAAGGGACTTGAAGAACAACTTCGACAGAATATTATGGATGTAATCCTGGTAGGAGCTGGTGATGGGAATGACAAAACCGCAGCTGTTCCCCTTCCCGCAGAGAAGCGAATCAAGGTTTGGGGAAAGCCGGGGGACGCGGCGGCGACACACACGAGCGAGAGCGGAAGTCTCAAAGCGAATGCTGTTCTCGCGCCTCGTAGAGTGGTTCCAACGTTGCCACTATCGGATAAAGAGTTGCATGCTTGTGCTTCGTATGAAAACACAACAGATGCTGGAGCTGAGCTAAGCTGTGGAAAGGCCGGGGTGACAGCCGCTGACGAGTTAAGTGGATCGGGAAACTCGTGGGTCGGCGACGACACCGCGGCAGCGACGGCGATTCGCATCGCGTTGAGTCGACTTGGGGACGACGCGGGTCAGGCTGACACAACGAGAAAAAGCAATGTATCCTCCTCGCGTCGCCAGGTAGCCTCTGCCCTAGGGAGCGGACGAAACCGCGTGCGCAGTGACGGCGAGCAGCTTGGCACAGCATCTCGGCCTGCGACGGGGCCACGAATTTTTTTTGATGACAGCTTTGCAGAGAAGCAGCTCCAGGATGAAGATGCCACTTCAGCTGGAGCAGACCAAGCTGTATTAGGAGCAAATTTGGCATCCTCTTCGCAGATGTCTGTGCAATCTGTTGCCGCGCTTTCTCGTATCAACCTTACGAACGAAGATCCAGACTCGATGTTCGAGGGCCTAGCGTTTTCAAATGAGGACGCTGCTGCTGATCAGCCGGGCTACACGTTTCTTCACGGCTCATCTCGGCCCGATAGTTTCAATATTTTACAGCAAATCGGTGCTGCCACTGCCTCAACGAGAACTAACCTCCTTGTTAGCAAGCCGGTTGCGGGTAGTACTAATCGCACACGACCCCATGGAATAACTCCCTTTGGCACCACTTTTGTCGGTGGGCCATCAGCAGCAGGATCGATACTTCTGTCAAAGACCACAAGCTCCGATCAGTCAACCGTGACAGGTAATCGCTTATCAAACGCAAACCTAAACCCAAACCCAAAGGACAAACAATTCCTTTTGCCTCCAGTGGTACCGTCGCTCTCCGCAGGCGAGAAAGCGCTGGGACGCCGTGGAATTGGGATTACCGGCAGTGGACTAGAATTGAGCTTTCTGCCTTCGGGCCCGCTGCCAGCACCACCACCGCATACGGCAGAGACCGTCACAGGCATGAAACTCGTCTCACGCGCACAGCAACCGCAGATTGCTAGTAAGGGCGGTAATGTTAAACCTACGATGATGATGATGATGAGTGCTGGTGCTGCGAATAACATGCAGTTGAGTGGTACTGGAGGACTGATGCAAACAGTTCCAGGTTTGAATTTAATATCAACGCCAGCGGTGACGGTAGAGTCTTTGTTGACAGGGACGTCAAAAGCGCGCAGCAGCAGTATTCCGAATGTCGCAGGAGAGACTTCGACTACATCCAGTGCAGAACTGTTTTCCGTAGCTGGAAAGAGTCTGGCTTCAGGTCCATATAGTCCGTCACACGTAGTGGCAAAGCACCGCGTCTTTTCTCCGATGAACACCAGCGCCGCGGCATTTCTTACAGGATCAGCATCTTCTGTAGCAATTGCACCTGGGATCGCGGGTCAAACGTCATCATCAATGTCTCAGACTGCAACGGCGCAGTTCTTTTCAAATCTCTCTCCTGATGCACGCGCTGGTGGGTCGCAACAGTTGACTTTGACGCCCTCGGTTTCTATCGCCCCCACTGCACCATTCTCAAACGCGTTAAAGGTCGCCGCTGAGGCTGCCGTAAGCACCTTGCATCCCGACGCGAGGGCGAGCGATCTGCACTGGCCCATACGGATTTCGTCTTCCAGCGGGACTTGCCCGCTTTTAAAGAGTGCAGGACAGCAGCTACAGCTAGTACTGTCTCCATCATCAAAGGTAAGACTGCTGCAGGCACCAGAGCCGGGGAGCTGGAAGAATTTGCAACCTTCGAATGTTGCTGGTGCTTCGCTAAAAAACAACTTGGTCTCACAACTTGCCAAAGGCGATCGCGGCCGCGGGGGTGGAAGTGTAGACGAGACCAATTTGCAGCCCTACGCAGAATACGCGTTGACTGCACAGGAGACGAATCTGCGATCCCCGTCAAAAAGCAAACTTAGTGCGACGTGCTCGCATTTCCACACGCAGCCAGCGTCTCCTGCAGGAAGCCTTGGCAACAAGGAGCACAGTGTATCGATAGGGACACGGGCTTCGCCAACCGCAGCACGGCTGACGCAATCTAGTAGAAATTTTTTCATCCCGAATCGCAATTCTCCACGAGGTTCGCAGATCGGATTCCCACGACACGATACCGCTGTCGATCTCCCTTCTCCGAATGGGCGGAGCCTGCTTGTGCATGATCTGATAGTGGACGCTGAGGCCGGCAATACTGAGCAGGCAGGAGGGACAAGCAATAGAGCGGGAAGATACGGAGAGCGTAGGCTACCTAGTAGCGCAGACGACCTGATTCATGAACAAATCAAGCAGTTGGTGGACGAGCACCTGCGCAGCGGGAACACAGCCGATGGTGCAGGATCTTTGGGTCATCTTGGAGCTGGTGTAGATGCAGCATCCTCGGACGAGGACGCAATCAACGCCCAAGGTGTGGACATTCATTACGCGCGCGAGGATGCGGTCAACTTCTCTTTTCTGGAGACGAACGCGCCTGCGAACGCTGAAGTGCGGGATGACAATAACAGCGGCCGCAACACACCGATTAAAAAAGACCGGGAGCCACTACCGAGAGCTCGTCCAATGGAGTCCTCAACCTCCGCATCCTGTACGACCTTGGTTAGTCGCACGAGCAGCCATAGGACGGCTGATTGCAATCAATCGGGCTCGGATAGTGCCGCGGCTAACGGAGCCGCTTGCCTGGACGATTGCGACGGTTCCCAACAGTTGCTGCAGGCATTCGGCCGGAAGCGACCTGTCGAGATCAACACATGTAAGGATGACAACGAGGAAGCAACTGCAAGTGGGTGCACAACAACACTTGCATCCTCTAGCAAAGATCACGAAACCTGCTACGAGCCTAGTAGTAGAAGTACAACAGCTGGACCTGGAGTTCTTGTTTGCATCTCGTCCTCGAGCACTCCTGCGGGCACGACCCAGCAAACCCCTGCAGGAGCTGCTGACGAAGTTACAATTTTAAACGGTGAAACATTTGGTACTAAATGTGAATCGTCCCATCCGCAGACATCGTCACCAGTCTTCTGTTTTGCGCCCGAATCTCCCGCAAGGAGCTCCGACGAGGAGGACTTTACGAGGCACTTTATTGTTGACATCGATTACAACAGCAATTACACAGCTTCAAGTCGTTTCTGTCAAAAGTCACCGAAGAGGCTTGGCGCTTCGCCTACAGCGACGAAGAGGCGCGCTCACGAGTTGAACGTCACCCCTTCACCAGCCATCAACATCGAGCCAAAAGTCGGAAAAGTCGCCCAAGATACGAAGACAGACGAAAAGATAACAACCATCAGCAGTAAGAGCAGTTTGACCAGAAGTAAAACGTCCACAGTTTTGCAACCTGCTAAGAGAAAGAGCGGTATCGGTATGACTGACACCTCGCCTGAAATGGGAGAGTCGCGGCCGCGTAGGATTTCTCATGGTGGACGAACTTTCGGAACGAAGACCCTGACGTCCCTCTCTGAGAAAAACTCTAGCACTGGGAAGCTGTCCCGAACAAGTAGTTTACGGGATCAAGACCTGTCGAGCATGCGCAAGTCATTTCACGATAGCGGGGATGCGACAGCACCGGGAACAGCGACCGCTAAGCGACGGAACAGCGTGGGTAGCATAATCAATCCTAAAACTAGTAAGTCTATGCCTACGGGTACGGGAACATCTTCTGGAACTACTCATGCAGGTGTAGCACCGACGAGCAGCACGAAAAGTGGAGCGGACAAAAGTAAAGCGACATCGCTTCCACCTGTTGATTCGGCGGCATCGTCTTCTAGCTCGTCTACATCCGGTGACATTGGCACGCCAACGACTATTTCCGCTGCCTCATCGTCCTCTTCTATCGCAGGTCTGTCTCGAGGAGGAAGCAGCAACACTTCGGCATCCACGATACCTGCCGGCGCAACAGCGGGCTCCACATTAGTGCTACCTTCGGCTACATCTTCCGGTGCAGTGGCTGTTGCCACTAACAGTATCATCAAAAATATAAAGGCATCGAGCTTCGTTCCCTTGACAACGGCAACACCCACCTATAACCTCACCAGGCCTCAAAAAGTACTCGAGCCACTCGGAGCTGCACTGGCGGCGGGTGATGCAGAGGACATTTGTGAGGAAGTCAGTAGGGGTGGAGACGTCGGCGTGGAGCTTGATGCTGACGCGGATGAAGCAGGCACAGCGACCAGCGAAAAGAGTAGTAGCAGACCAGGAACTTCTTCACGAGCATCTTCAAAGAAGAAAAAGTCGTCCGCAGCGCGTGCTAGCAAAGCGCGCTCTCTCAATCCAACGGGGCTCGAAGTGTCTGCCACTCCCGTCGTACTTGCGGAGAAGCCTGCACCACGCCCTCGCTCCAAGACTCTTGACGGCACAACGACGCCAACTGCCCCTCCAAGCGAGCGGCTCGCGCAAACGGTGCACGGAAAGTTCCTCTCGAATAGCCCGAAAAAGAACAGCCTAATGCAATCACCAACACGCGACAGAGGGCGCAGCATCCTTCGAAAAGAGTCTGCTGAAAGGTACTCCTAGTATGATTTGCTTTTGCATAAACATGACTTTCGCGATTCTTTTGTTTCCAACATCTGTACCTGTAGTAAGAACGAAGTTACTAGTGTTAATAGATCGATAGATAGAAATATTTACGAGAATCTAGAAAAAAAACGAGAGAGCATGAGCAAGAGCAGCATTGACCAGTTATCTCTGTTCAGTAGAAATTGTGAGCGTTTACATTTCCATGTTAACGAGTAGGATGAACCATACTTGATGGTTATGTCACCGATTTCTGTGCGAGAGAAGCACCAAAGAGAAGGCGAATGTCCCAAGATCTCACACCGTGACATAAAAAATTCTGCATTCGTATAATTGTTATGTTGCTCTCTCATGTAGTTGGCTGTGGCTGGCGTACTATCAGCAACAACATCTGCTGTGGTCTGTACAACTGAGGAGAAATATTATATCTGTGTGAGAACAATTGATATGTCGTCATCAACGAACGAGGATGTGCCGCTGTCTCGGTGTGTCTGCGAGCGCGTCGCAGCCTCGCAGGCAGATGCAACCCAGGTTGGTCGTCTATAATCCCTTCCGACCAACATTCTCATACCCTTAGTTCCTTGTGATTCTATGTGAAATTTATTATTTTCATGTGTGTGCAGGACCGCATTTCTCTCTAGTATGATTGGTTTTTGGTAATCCTCGTCCGCCCGACGACCTGCTCCTTCATCTAATGTAGACTAGACCTGCTGGATTTCTATTTATGTTCATAGTTTTCTATAGATTTCCTCTATAGCAGGCAGGAAAATTATTTTTGTGTCCTATTTTTCTTGATTGATGCAGTATCTCTACCTGCATGGCTGTACTTAATCAAAATATTAGGTCAATCAGTGTTCTAAAAATCAATGTATGTTGACTTCCCCACACCTAACTACCTAACCTAAATAATTAGTGATAATAGCTGACTTGAGGACTTAAATAGGTGATTCGAGGCTTCTAGATTTTGGAAGACGATTAGAATTTCAAGAACCACGTATACTCATTTACAACAACCCCATATAATTATAATTACATCATTTAGTAAGGAACTGGAGAGAGTCCACGGTGTATTATATTTATATAGTGTATTATCATCATCTTCACGCTTCTGCTGTGTTGTACTTTAGAGTTTATCGTGGTGGGTGTAGTATGGATCAATCATTGGACATTTTGAGTTTGCTGATAGATAGTACGAGTATGCTGATGCTTGTAGTAATCGGAACATATTGAGTAATATTACATGGCTCTCCTTCTCGTGTATGCCGTATGAATATGATCGTTTAGGGAGGCTTAGGTGCATATTGGAGAGGTCAAGTAATAGCCGACTTGTTGCTGCATCCACGCGGCAGATTTTGCGCATCCCACCGCCGAATAAGCGTCCTCAGCGTTGTCCTCGTTGCAAGTCTTTTTCCGTTCATTACTGGTAAAAAATAGTACAGTAGGAAGGTATCATGGGGCGTGAAGCGTGGTTATATGGGGGCCCGGTGAGTGGGTCGCCTGGGTATGGGAATGGCAATGGATATGATTATGTCGAGAGCACGAGCAGTGCCCGTGGAGGTCCTCGTGGGAATATTGTTATAGGGGGTCCCTCCAGCCCAGGTGGTGGGACGAGTAGGAGAAATTACGGAGGCAGTTTCTCCCCTAAAGCCGCGAGTAGAGGAGCAGGCACATCCAGCAAGACAAGTACTGGTGGCCCACTTGTCTGCACAAACGTCGTCCCCGTAGAGCTAGAGGGGGAACTTGTTATACAACAAAATAACAGTCGTCGTATTGACGCTTGTCTCCTCAAAAGGTTCCAAGCAAGCAGCAAATTTTTCATGGAGGAGGAAGGCGAACACTGGCTGACGAAATATCACACCTTCGGCTACTATCGCGACCTCAAGACGCAGGAACGCATCGACCTGCCTGAACGAAGTAAAGTCGCAGCAATATTGGGCGAGCTTGATCTTTTTCTGCTGCAACCAGTGACCAAGAAATTCAATCTCAGGTATTATTTGTCCTTCTAATCAAGTTTCCGACTAATTTAGAAACTCCTTCATTCGACAATGTGAATGTGATTGAAAGTCGCGCGAAGAACAACAGGATTAGGACGCCGGTGATGAGCATAAGGATGATGATTTCTACGAACTTGTTCAAAATGAATCACAGGTACCACACCTTCGGCGAGGCGCATTGTTGCGCAAAGAAGGCAGGGATGACGACAAAGGACCCAATGGTGGTTCGCAATCCAGAGAACGGGAAGATTTCCAAGACCGTCGGATATCGTACATCCATTCTGTTACGCGTGCGTTTGCACCCGACAAAGGGCGATCCGCGAACTCAATTTCTGTCCAAAGGCACGCTAGTGGCGATTCTGCTGCATGAGATCGCGCACCTTCGACACATGAACCACGGACGCGACTTTATGCTCTTCTTGAAAGAGCTTTTTACGTTTGCTCACGATGACCTGAAGATTTTTGATCATGAGCTGCTGGGGGAGAACGAAGTTCCGTCGCCGTGGGAATGGGAAAACATGATCTACAAAACGAACGGCAAAGTTGCGGAGAAGATGCTCGACAAAAAATTCGCAGAGCACCTAGAGAAGGAGAAAGCAAAGGCACTAGAAGCGAAGAAAGCTGGGCAGCCAGAGTCTGTAGCGCTAACAAGTAGTCCGACAGTGGGAAATGACCACAGTCCAGTACATCGAGATCCATCATTGTCCTTGTCTCCTAGCCATGGAGGAGGAGGGGATCTATCGCAATCAAGAGACGCAGATGGCGCAACAAACGCGAGAACAGGGAGTCTCGAATCGCCGACCGCAGGCGACCGAGGCTCCCCCGACAGCAAAAAGGGTATGACAAGTCCTGTTGCGAATTCCACTGGGCAAACAGCGACTACCAAAAAAACGACTGGCAGTGGTGCCACGTCGACTTCCTCGAGTGTAGCAGCACGGGCAACAACGGGCGGCATGACTCTGACAAGTACTAGTAGCAGTGCAGTGGTGATCAGCCCACCGAAACGGCTGAGCTCTCTTGGCCCAGGTTCCACGATAGGTTCTCCTAATCGGGAATTGCGTGAGGCTCCTGCTAGGAGAAATAGTGTTGGAGGCTCGACAACGGGAAATGGAGCATCGTTGCTGGTCGTGGGTCAGTCGCCAGGGGGTAGCAAGTCGGCGCGTGGTGGCCCCGTTGATGGTACGCTTAGCCCGGAGAGCAAGATTCAGACGCAGTGTGCGTCGTCGCCTACGGCAGTAAGTCGCATGGGTCGGTTCGAATCCCAACCGCACACTAGAGGTTTGAGTGGGTTACCTACCACGGCCTCATCTTCCTCCAGTAGCAGTAGTATCTTGAGCACGAGTACATCAAGCGCGGCGCCCTCGTCAACGTCGGCGGTAGCATCTGCGTCCGGTCTGCGTTCGCACAACTCGCCCGCTGTTTACATGGAGGGTCACGACGGTAATCCGATCGAGCTCTTTTGCGGAAATCCGGTTAAGTCTGCTCGCACATTGACGAAACCGGTCGCACCGCGCTTATCGACCAGTGGCCGGGGCGCAGCAAGGTCCCCAACCGGACCGTCATCGCCGAAGGCACCCAATTCGATGCAAGGGGGCGGGATCGGGCGGACCGATGGCGGCAATTCGCTCGTGCTCTCCCCTGGTCCAGGAAATAGTGCTGCGAGTGCCCAAACTGGCGCCGACAAGAACATGGCGACCATGCTCAATATGGCTCACAGCCCAGTTTTCCAGTCGGCGTACGAGAGACTTCGGTCAATAGGAGCTCTGGGCTCTCATACAAAGGCGCGCGACGCCGCGAAAAACGCTGAGGAGCAGCCTACGCGAGCCGTCTCTCAGTACTCAACACTCCAAGTCGGTGACTTTTTCAAAAAGTGAAACAAGGCGGACGTTTGCAAAAAGCTTCCCTTGGATATCTCGATCGATAGTCGCTACTTGCCCTTAATGGTCCATTGCAACAACTGTGTACTTACTTATAATCATTTTGATAGATATAGGCAAGTAGAACAAGTTGTAGATTTATCTGCTCCTAAAATTAGTCTAGTAATAGAACATAGCCCCCAACATCGGAGAGGTCGATATCCTCTGCCGCTCGAGAGATTTCACGTCAGATAAGATCAGTTTTTGAGTTTGACGGTACTAATTTATTATTTTCTAGACACGCACCCAACTAGAAGTAACAAACAAGTGGAATCCGATTCTATTCATTTTTTGTCGCTCAAATAGTAACAAACAAGTGCTGAAATCCGATTCTATTCATTTTTTGTCGCCTTTTTATCCTACAAACATGAACTTTTAAACTATCCAGTTCTCACTGTGCGTACTTATTAATTATACTCGCTGTGCACACCCGCCTCAAGGTCAAGGCTGGGTATATCATCATCACTACTAGAATAGAACATGAACATGAACATTGAGATTGAGTGATTCTTGTTTTTTGTTGACAGTGTAATTCTTGCAGCATTCATCGTGGCTTTCCTTTCTAATCAAGCATCGGAAAGGAGTCTCTGTGCTGTGTGCTTGTCGTGTATAGTTTAGTGTTGCATTAGAACAAGAATAAAAAGTCTTATTTTCGGCAGGGGAGAGGCACAGCCTTGGTTGGAGTCGAAGTGGATTTTTCGGTATTTTTGTACCTTGTTTGAATCCCCTGCTTCTCGTCTTGTCTGTGTTCCACTACTAGAAATAAGATCTACTTTGGCAGTGCATACAACTACTGGTATCAAAGATGCAGTCACCACCAATCATGCACATGATGAATGTTGTCGAGAACGATATCTGTTCGTCCATTCGTCATTCCTGTTGTAACGTAATGTGAAAGAAAATGAAAAAACAGTGAAAAAATTGACCAAACAAGAGCTGAAGCAGCACCGAGGAGCCTCGAGCATCGACGTATGAGTCGGGCGCTGGACGATGTTGAAAATACTGAGAGTGTTCCTGTACTCCTGTACTTCTATTGCTGTTTCCACTTCTTTAGTGGATTCAGTCTGAGGAAGACGTAGGTGGAGTCTGCGAGACTGGTAGTAGAAAAATACCAAAAAGGGGAATTTTATCGAGCACGAACTTCCTAAGGAAGTTCCTTTTTCTCTATCAATCGACCGAGGGAGTGTGAGAAGATTGCTGAAGGTGAAAACTAGACATGAACAAATATGAAAAAGAGAGACCACGACAATCACTAATTTTTCGTCGGTGTAGCTCAAGCTCATCTAATGTAAGTACTACGTACCTAACCTTCGTCTAATGCTTTCATAGACAGCAATGGAATTGGTGATCAGGAAGCTCGTCCAATAAATAAAGCAGGATGACGGCGGTTGTGAATAATGCAAATGCTATCATCGCGGACAGCGCAGTTGTGTGCGCAGAGGCCATCTTGATTGGACCGCACCACATCGAAATTGGCGAGAGCTGTATTTTTCATCCCGGCAGCCGCGTAGAGGCGATTTCGGGTCCGATCTTCTTCGGGCGCGACAATGTCGTTGAGGAAGGTGCCCTGATTCGCAATGGGAATCAGGATCTCGCGATGCGAATAGGGAACGGTAACCTGTTTGAAGTGCGAAGTCGGGCAGAGAATCTTGTTGAAGTCGGAAACCGTAATATTTTCGAAGTCAACTCAAGTGTCGTAGCGAAACCACAGGGACGGCAGGACCAGATTGGTAAAGGCAGCCTCTGGTTACCATCGATGTTGCTGTCTCGTGTAGGATCGGGCTGCATTATTGGCGCGAATGTTTCGATTTCAGCGAGGTATGCTGGCGCGGAAGGGGAGGGCAGAGAAACCAAACGGGACGACGGCACAAGAACAGCTGTTAGTCCTGACAACAAAAACACCAACCCCAACGCCGCGAGGCCAATCGTCGTAGACGATGGACTGATTTTCCCGACGAACGCATACGGGGAAGCAGTGGTCGGCGGTCGGACTGACCATGCGACAGATGTCGAAGCAGAGAGAAATCACTCAAAATTGATAGAAGTTCTCAAAGAAAGTCTACCGAAATTTCACCACTTGAGACGAACCGCGAGTCCTACAGGAGGTAGCACTCTCCAGCGATGACACGTCAGAGCGAGAATGTGGCTCTGTGATCCCATTGTGTTTTTGGTCCTGTTCTTACGAACAAGTGTGTTCGTGGTCGTGAGCTACATCAAAGGGGATCAAGAGAGATACTTAGAATACACAAAATTTTCAGAAATGGTCTGCCAGGCGTTAATAATACGTCTTGGTCGAAACAATGCATGAAGTTGGAGCTCTTTCGCTAGCCTTTTTCCGCTTTTTGTCTCTTGCTCTTCATGGTAGTTGCATACGTGAAAATTACAGGAGAAGAAATACATTCATTTGCGATGAAGAATACGATGCCATCAATGCATTACCCATATTTTGGAAGGTCTCGTGATCCTGGGCCAGGTCCTGGCGCTGCTACTTGCTAGTAAAACCGGAAGTTTCGAAAAATCATGGGAGTGCTGATTCGGTGGTGCCGAATATTATGCGGTAGTGGTTGTCTACTGCTTCAGGTGGGCTATGGAGGGCTTGGTCGTGCCGAAAAGTCCTATGCTCGCACGGAAACATCTTATCCTCTTCTCGGTACCCAGTCTGGCGCGTGGACATCTTCGGGAGTACTCTTGCGACCTGGCGACAGCACGAGTTGCGTTGCTGCTAGTCGTGGCATACTTTCTGACATAGATGAGGATGTTCACGCCGTAGAAGCGCGGCTAAGGACAAAAGATGAAGCGACTGCCGTGACTGCCGCCGAACTGTTGCCGCACGCTTCCCAGTGGTTTCTGGCGGATGAAGAATACGGTGCGGGTGAGCATATGGGTCGATACGCACCGGAATGGCGTTTGCGACGCGACGCGGAAAACGAAGAGACAGCATCTGCAAACGAGAAAAACTCGAATGCGACGCCTGCAGTGGAAGAGGTAGAATTGGCAGATGAGAAATTCGTCGATACTGGAGAGCAAAATGCGACAGAAAAACATCGCCCGCTAGTTCCACTCTGGGAGAGGGCATGTCCGAATCTGCATCGCAAAGAGGAAGGCAAAAAAACGCTCGTCCGCCCTTGCTGCAGAAATGTGATACAACTCACCGATGCGCATGACGAGTTGCTGCACAAATGGCAGTTCATCAACCGCAACTACAATGACCGCCTAGAGAGCTACGGGCAGTTCATCGCCCAAACAGCACACCTTTCAGATGGCTACTGTGCAGCACATCTTGTCCGCACGCGCATAACGCATTTCGAACTTGCAAACAAACTTCAAGAGCAATGGGCAGCACTTCTCCTGGCAACAGAAAGTTTTGTTTTATGCGCGGCGTGTTTCGACGATCTTGATCACGCTCAAGATGAAACAAACGCTACAACCAGGAACACGAAGATTGGAAATCGACGTCATGCATCTGGAAGACCCCACTTGCGGGCGGCCGCACTTGCGGCGCGAGAAAAAGAACTACTTACACACTGGAAAAAAGCATCGGAGGACGCGCAGAGTCTTTGGCGTCGACAGATGGCCGCTGACGCGTTTATCCTGGAGCAAGACGAGCAGTGCCGCTTTGCGTATGTCCAGGAGCTGCAGCGTGGTCGCATGTTTGAGTCTGAGCATATGCTGCCACGATTGCGCGTTACGTCAATTGCGGCTCAGGAGAAGGGCGCGGCGGAGACTGTTGAGGAAAGAGGAGCTGTCGTCGAGGCGAACACAAATCACGATAGGCATGCTGAAGATTTGCACATTTCCGATGTGCGTTTGCGTGGCGGCGATCTTTACACGGTCGTTTTCAAAACCTGGATGGACGCCGCGATGTCCATGATTTTAGAGGTCGGGAATTTGCTACTACACCAAACGGAGACATTGCTTCTGCTCATGTATCATCTCGGTCGTGGGACGTCGTCATGGGCCCACGCGCTACTGATTGTGCCACCTGGTTCCGGCGCGGACCTGCAAACACTCTTTATCCAGCGCAGACAGGTGCTAGACTCTGAGGTTCCAGTGTGCCGCGTACTACGCGACTACGACAGAGCTGTCGTAGAGCAGATTGAGATGGCAATTGGTACATCTTCACGAGGTCTTGCAACTTCGTCCGGCCCCATGGGTCTTCGGACGACACCAGGACCAGCAGAAACAAATTCTGGCGGGCCTTTTGTGCGTGAGAACCGGCTTTTAGAGTCACTAAGCGGCGCGTTGCAAATGGGGCTTGCCTACGTAACGTCTGAAAAAGGCGGCCACATGCCTCGGGAACTTGGTCCTCGTATCGAAGCCGCGATGGGCGACGTGGGTGCTGTGCTCGACATACTCGACGAAATTCTACCACGGGATTCCCCTTGCTTTCTCAGGTGGCCACGACCGGCATCAGCTTCCTTACCTAGCGGACAAGCCGAGCGTTCCTCTAGTATTCCTGCGCACGTATCTACAGGACAAATAAATGAGCGGAACGCAGCCTCGTTAAAGGATGAATCCGGCGAAAGCGTTGACCACGACGCTCTCAAAGCCTTGACTTATGCCGTTGTGCTGGTAGCAGTTCCGGACAAGGCTGACCCAGACTTCGTGCGCCAGCACGCTTCCGTGCTCTTCGAAGAGCTTGAACAGAACCAGAGCCTCCATGTCTTAGTGGTTTCGAGGTCGCAAGACATTGTAGAGTTAATATATTCGGGTGCTGCTACGTCGAGACGGGGTGGAAAGGGGGCCGCGAGCAATCGACTTCAATTTATCTGGCGCAGATTCTATCTCTACGGCGGTATGGAACTCCTGGGTCGTTTTTTCCATCCTGACACAGCAAAGGTGGTGTACCGAATTCCAAACCTTCCTGACGAAAAGACTCTACAACCTGAAAAACAAGCTGCGAAGAGAGGCACTCCTCCAGCAACGTCAAAAGAAGAACTTGAAGATGTTCAAGGTCACACGGTGGAAGACATTTTATGGGATGCAGCTATCTCATATCTTGAAGAGTTTCGATTGGTATTGCGCTTAACGGTATCTCTCGTAAGTCCTACAGAAGAGATGATGCTTCGTGCTGGACCTGAGGCTCTTCAGACCATTACGCAGATGCTTAGCAAGATGCATGGGGTGACAGAATGGAGTTTGCCCGGCACTGGTGCCACCTCAAGTGAAATCTGTGCTAGCGCAACAACTAAAAACTCGTTGAATGCACGAACTGAGCTTCTCGCAGAGACCTCGATGCATGCATCCTTTCTCGGTCAGCAACAGATTTTGGCGGGTGGACCAGATAAGGGCCAGAGCGGTGGAGCTCAGCGCACACTAGATGAAAATGCTAAGCATAAGAGCTTGCAGGACGAGGCGAGCATAGACTTGAAACTCCCTCGCTGTGGGCGGTCGGTGTGGATGGGCTATGACCTGAGCGACTGGGAGCGCAACAACGATCGAGCGGTGCTTTTCGACTACGTTCGAAAGACGCAGCAGAGTAAGCGTATACTCGTGTACCGTTGTGCGTCAATCGGTTTCTGCGGTGGGCATGGCGACCGATTGCATGGTATTTTAGGTTTGTTTATGCTGGCACTGGTAACCGGACGTGCTTTTCTGATCGACTCACCGAGACCGCTACCGATTGGGCTACTTCTGGAGCCCGCGTATCCCGAGGATGTGATCGATTGGCGCGTGCGCGGAAGTGTGGGCTTGCCTGGGCTGCACGCGAACCGCAATGATAAATTTGTGGAAGCGCTTGGTGACTTGGTAGACTCCCCTGAAAAAAATTGGGTCTTGCATTCGAATCAGAGAATCACGACGGCCTGTTTGCACTCCGAACTTGCACGACGCAATCTTCCTTCAGCAGTGCGCGCTGTCCTTGTCCGAACCCCATTTTTGCACGCCCATCTCTTCGAAATGTTGTTCAGGCCGACGAATCTTCTCGCCAACCGCATTGCCAGCTGGTTTCAGTTCGCACGCACAGGCGATATAGAAACAAAAACTACAAGTGGCAAAAATGTCGGCTCTACTTCGCCTCAGCCTTACCCAACAGCGACCCCACCTAGCACTAGCAGAAGACCTGTAGAGAGCCTTATCGGCATTCATTTCCGCACCGGCAATGCCTCCTCGGATCGATGGAGGGATCCGCAGCGACATCAACGAGAAGACCTTCTTGAATTTTTGCGATGTGCTACAAAAGTAGAAACGGAACTTCGCTTAGATCCTACGGCCACTAGATTTTTTCTTGCTGCTGACGCTGAGACAGAGGATTGGCCCGAACTCGCAGAATACTACGCGTCCGGCAAACTGATTGGACCTAGCTTTATGATATATTATTCTTACTGATGATCAGGGGTTTTCTAGCTGTGGTTTTGAAGCTCTTTTTACATACATTCTTACTATGTGTGTTTGTTCTGGTGCTGGTTCAAATGACGAAGTACGTTTGTACTAGTTATTGTTGTTTCAGATAATTCCTCCTTTTCCGATTGTTTTACAAATGGTCCGTCATACATCTTTAAGTCCGATGCGCATGCTTGATTTTTGAGTTTTGAAGTTTGGATTGCAGTTGAAGATGTACAACTCGTACGCTGTAGGGAAATGCAATAATAAATTAGTGGATCGCATAGAGCGCGCACGACTACTTCTAGTTCTAATCATCACTACGAGGACGTGGAAGTTGATCCAGAACCAGACGACGAGGCGAGGAAAGGTGAAAGTGAAAGCCAAGTACTAGACTCGAAGGTAGAAGCAGTAGCAGCATCGAATGCAGACGTCTCCGGAGGGGATCAAGGTCCTGCCCCGTAAGACGAAGCGAACGCCGCCCGCGGTCCGTCACGCGTTACGCCTTAGCGTGACGCATAGAATAATAGGGGGGTTGGTGCTTTATTAGAATGCGCACAAGCGTGACGCGGACCGCATTGTTGGGCGCCTTGAGCCTCTGCCGCGTCACGTGGTGACAGCTCTCGTAGTCGTCCCCTGCAAAGACTGGCCGCCTCGCACGCAGCGCTGTTTGCTCGCCAGTAGAGGAGCCCACTCTGCTGCCCGCATGGCAATGGCTGGGCTCTCGTGGCGAGCTCTCGCGCCGCCGAGTCTTGCTCTGGGAGGGCCTTGGAATGTCTCTGGGAGATCTTCTGATGACTCGACGCCGAGTCCTCGGAAGATCTCCAGAAGATCTCTGGGTGCTCTTTTGAACTCCAAAAGAGCCTCCAGAGAGAGCCGCTTCAAAGTCTCTTGAAAGTCTCAGAGCCCTCTCGCCATATCGCAGAGAGAACCCTGGGCAGAGCGGTCGGTGCAGAGCGGAGCGGAAAACAGACTTTCGAAAGACATTCAAAAGCCCTCCTCTGGAGACTTTCAAAAGGCTCTCCAGGGACTTTTAGAAGTCCCTTGGAGAGTCTTTCGAAAGCCTTTCCCGTGAGCTTGGTCTCTGCTTAAGACCAGCACGAGCCACGCGGCATCCGGACCTGCAGAAAGAGGACCCAAAGGGGGCCCTCAACAAGTGTTGCTACCCGCGCCCAACCGATGATGCCCAAATCTCACACTAGCACTACAAGCGCCTTGCCTTGAGATACCTAAGATGGAGATGTATAGACTACAGCAGCAGGCTGGACCTTGCTAAGTCTGTAGGGGACACGCAACCCGAGCGTCATGCGAAAGCGTGACGCGTCACGCTTTCGCGTGACGCTCGAGACAAGAAGGGGCCAAGTTTTCAGTAGTATACCTGGGGGAGAAGGCGTAAGGTCTTAAGTAGGACCGCGGGCGGCATTCGCTGACCCTTACGGCCTTGCCCCACCTAAAAAGACAAAGCAAAGAAACCGGTTTTCGAATGCTGTGGTACACCTAGATCGGAGTTCTTTGGCTCTTCTCTCAGTCGGAATGGCCGAGGTCTGGGCGCAGTGGTACGCATTAGGCTTTTTCGTAGATGCTTTGATTCTTTCAGCATCGGGATTTGGGGCTACAGCGGGCGAAATGGCGAGGCAGACCCAGACGTGGTTTGGGAAGGGCTGCATTCGTGCGGACCTGAGTGTCACGTGATCATGAATTTAGAGGGTTAGAAGAGTAAAAAGACGCAAAAAAGAAAGACGCCGCAGTTCTGGGTTAAATGGACACTGCGATACACCGGAGATTGCTGAGATTATTTTTCCATGATTACACACAAAGACAACGCGCTCATCTTCTCACTTTCCATATGATTGATGCGCACGGTGTTGCCGACCTATTTACTTAGTCGATTACGATTACTTACATGGTCATCGACCGTTCCCGCAGCTGTTGCTCAGAATGCGACGAGAATTACCGAATGTTGATAGGGTTACCATATATTACACATCTTATTGAAATTGAAAAACATAGGCGCAACCGAAAATTGTATTCACAGCGTCCTTATTCTTTTTGTTGTTCTCATTGCGACGTCGGATACTTTTACACCTCATCCTTGTCGTTGTCATTCGAAAAGTCATAACCTTGAAAACTTTGATTTTGGTTGTAGAGGTCCCGCGAGGTTGGAAATTAGAAATGTAACTCTGTGTATATTTGTCATTGTTCTTTTGAAACAGACCAGCACGACGAGAGACTGCAGAGAAACAAGTAGCCGGTCTTAGGATGAAAAATGCGCAGTTATATCAAAGCCGTGCAGCATCAGTTTTGTTTTCTCTCTGGCGTTGTCCTACACCTACTGAATGAGTTTTACGTCGTCAACGTTCACGGCTATGTGGAAAGTCGTGCGTCTTCGGCTGATATCGAACATGATTCTGTTGGACGCGTAGAAGAGGAACCTGAAGACGGAACGAGGAAGGCTCAACACTCCTCCATTCGCAGTCACCATGGGCATCATGGTACACACAGCCGTCGCGATCGACGGCCTCGTCATGCACATCAGCGTGCTCACCACCTTGAAAACGCAGAGGATCGAGAGCATGCGGAAGGAAGGCGAGGTCAGCGGCACGAGCAGGACTTAGACGTTGTGCACGTGGTGACGAGCTCGAGCCGGAGAAAAACGGGACACGGGCGCGAGCGCCAGCTGCAACATGACTTGGTGGAAGATTCAAGCGCCCCAGAGAACCACGGCCGTTTACAACTACGGCCTGCTGCGATGTATGAACATGTTGACGTCGTGGATGAGCTACAACTCCGGTGGCAACGCGACCACGAGCCGCAACGACCGCACCACGACAGAAGCTCTCAGCGTCATCAGCGAGGACATCACCATCACAGAGAGCGGAGAAATCAGCTTGATAGACACGACGAACAAAGCAGAGGTGCTGCAGATGTGGTGTTCGATGACGTTTCCTTGCTTCAAATGGGCGAGAAAGCTGCATCTGGATCGGAGACTACTCACGAGAAAAAGCAGGGTGAAGCCGAAAGCGGCGAAGGTGAAGATGCGTCCCTCCCCGCAACAGCGATCGGCTGGTCGTCACAGGCCTACTGTCCAGGATCGCCCGTGGCGCCAGACCGGGTGCTCATTACGCTAAGAACTACTCTAGACGGCGTTGCATGTGAGGACGTCATGCGAGAAGTAAGAGCTCGCGTAAGCGGTGACAATTCCTGGAGAGACCCATCCGGTGGTAATTTGCATCTTACATCAGTTTTAAACACTGAAACAAATGGGTACAGGATTGACCATGATATTGCTGACGACTTCTGAATCCTCATCCTCTGTCTAGGAGTACTTGATGCTTTGCCCTGTAGCTAGAAGCTTCCGCGAATAAATTGCGACACTCCACCCACCTCGAGTAACATCTTCATGATTCGGTCCGTGCCCCGCAGCAGTTCCTTTCCTTTCGTTCCTCTTGTTCTTCAGGAAGTTACGAGCTCCTTGCGAGTGAAGACGGAGATGATCGTGAAGTGTACGAAGAACACGATCCTGTGAAGAATTCCGATTCGGCGAGGGCAACTCTGACTCTCAAACATGTGATTGACGAGAAAGCTGCGAGTGAGAGCGCTGCACCGAAGGGAGAGACAGAACAAGCCAAAGGGGAGATCGAGGACTGGATGAGACTGTTTTTCCAAAAGGACACGAATCAACTTGCAGGGTGCGTAATTTACGCATGCGGCGAGGCACAACAGAGCGGCTCTGCTGATAACGGAAGAAACTATTGCAATATCCACAACCTTTTATGCGGACCGAAAACGTATTGTGCCATGGTATTTCTTATCAACGCACCTAGAGTTAGAAGTTGTTTCGACAACATAGATGAAGTTCTTTTAGGTTCTTCGTCTTCTTTTTCTTTCCCTCTGTCGTCCGTTGCTTCTTTCGCATTTGGAAGCATTTACTTATTTCATGATGAAGATTTCACCATTTTGCATTCGATTCGGCACGACCATCCTCCAGGCGTCCTACTCGAATAATAGTCCGGCTTTGACGGAGCTAGTGTCGAAGTACAAGCCGCAAGAGTTGATAGTTGAGTACAGTCCCCCGGAAAACATAGCAGATCCGGCTACTTGCATGGGCCAGACAGGGGCAAAGGCCGACGACATTTACCTGCCGAAGGGTCCTGTCGTTTCGCGGGCGCCTGAAACGGAGCATTGGTCGCTTATTGCTGGAGGAACAAAACGCCTTAAAAAAGTAGCGGGAGAAGTGTCATTGACACTGGCAGACTCTCCAGCAGCCGCTGCAGAAGCATCTGGTTCCTCGTGGATTTTCGATGGTATAGCAATAACGGCGCTGGTCCTGCTAACGCTCTGGTGCGGAGAGCGCGTTTATCGCATGGTCGAAGTATGGCAACGGGCGGGGGCGATGGACGCACCTCCAGAAGATGAAGCCGTTGCCAAGAAATCAACAAGTAATGAACAGCAAGCAGGAGAACAAGTAGGAGCAGATGCAGAAAAGGAAGACGAAGAGGGAACGGAGAGTATGCAAGGTCAAGGAGGCGCGAGAGGTTCGATAGGTGGCAAAGCTGCTGAAGAGAACGAGGATCTCGCCAAGGAACGAACAAGTGTACCGAGTCGCCCATCAAGTGATTACATTAGTGGGAGAAATTCGGAAATGGGTGCAGGTGGAAAAACAGGTAAAGAAGGAGAGCCAGGTAGAAAGAGTTCGATAGGTGGAGAGGAGAGCAGAACTAGCTACAATGAGGAAGGCGAGGATTTCATGAGGGACCTAGGAAGTGTCCCAAGTCTCCCCATGAGTGACACCCTTGTCAATGTCAAAAAACGTGTCGGTGTTAGTGGAAAAGCTGCTACAGGAGGTATAAAAAAGGCAAAACCAGAGGGAAAGGTTGGAGAAGGTGAAGCGCGTCCCCCTCCCGTGATGCAGCCCAATTTACCACCGAATACTCTTGCTGGTCTTTCTAAAGGGGCAGCGAAGGGCATGGTAATGATGCCTACAGGTGAATTGGCGACACCTGCAAAAGGGAAACAACTGGTATCCAATTCGATGAAGGGAGGCATGAAAACTAAAACTTCACCACTGGATCCTCCTCCTGGAAAACCGCCAGGGGTAGGGGTGAGCAAGGCGCTGCAAGGAAAATCCATGTTGGGGGGTCCTGGTGGTGAAAAGATGTGACAATCTGAGCCATTAGTAGACACTGATTCACTTTCTTCAATGAGAAAATGGGCGAACAACTACGTCCTGCTTCCGCTGATCATTTGCTCAACAAAAAAGGGCACTGCTTCCTCGAAGGATAATTTCAACGTCTGCCAAAGCCTACATCAACTAAAAAATGCGAATTCGCTACTGCTTGATCACGGAGGCGGTAGCTGACCCGACTCTCACGTGGTGCAGCCGAAAACGTAAATTACTACAACCGATAATTACAACTACATTTTTACATTGTACCAAACGTGAAGAGCTGGCTACTTAATCGGTTCTACTTGGAGTGATAAACATCAGTCAGTGGCACCTTCTTCCTGTTGAGTGATGGAGAGATGAGATGGGAGATGCACCGAGTCAGGACTAAGAATCTTTTTCCGCTTTAGATTTAGCGGACTTCTACATTGAATATATTGTTTAGGAGAAGATACGCAAGAAATTCGCTGAAGAGGTGGAATCTGAAGTACATTACAACAAGGTAAAAAACGCACTTTGTCGACATGCACCTGATGATAATGTCCTAAACTCAGAGTACTTATCAAACTTTGCCCTTGGTTAATCTTGTTGTGCGCCTCCTCGAGGCTTCCCAGAGTTATTTGGATTCAAATTCACTGGCTGGACCACTCCTTCTACGACCAAATCCTCGTCACTGAAAAAATTGTTGTTTCTTTAGTTGAAATTGAAGATCGAGGTGCAGCATGCTATACAACGCGCGACGTGCGAAAGGCATTCTGGCTGCTTGAAGAGGCTACCTCCAGCTTCAGCGTCTCCGGCAACCATATTTTTACTGTTTATGACGGAGGCCGCTCATACTCATCGACGCAGCGACACCAGCGTTATCATCTGACACCACCTGTTCTTTTCGTGCGCACCGCATTAGTATTCAGGCACGGGGTGCGCTTTGTCTACAAAGTGACAGTAATTCCGATCACCGAAATAAAAGCTTCGACGTTAGTCCTCGTGGATTGTCTCCGGATCTTTGATTCGGGCGACAACGACTCGCCTGAGGACGCGTCTTCTAGCTAGTGTTTAGTACAAAGACGCAAAATGTTAAACCTCACTGGATCCCAGCAGCAGCAGGCCAAGGATGCCTTGCTCAATCCAACGGAGGGTGGCGTCATACAACTTCTTATGGCCGAGCCGATGTTGGCGAAGAGCCTTGTCCAAGACCCACAAGGTACAACTTCATTCGTAACTTCAAATCGCCGTAGGCATACAAATGTCATGGCGCACATGCTCATTAGTTTTGTGATATGGGTACTTATGTACCTTTTCATCCTATTCATTGCAAAGAAATGTATGACGCCTTTCCACAGGTACTCTGCAAAAGAACAAAGCTTTGCAGGAAGCACTGATGAACGACCCACAAATGAAGGAAATCGTCAAGAAAAACATGGACGACCCAAGAGTGCAGCAATTTCTCAAGGAGAAAGGTTTTCAATTTCTTGCAACTTCGACAAATGCAATCCACGCAATCCTGACCCTCACCTGACTCAATTTTTGTTACACCTCCAATGAGTTGTGGTTGTAGCATACTGATGAAACTGAAATTGCAAATATCAAATTTTGAAAAATACAGCGAGGGAGGCTGCAACTCAAGCGGCAAACAATTTCAGAGCGAGCGCAATAGCAGCAGGCGCGAAGGGTCTACACGCATTCAAGAAATACGTTCAGGGAGGTCCAGCAGGGATACAGATGCTTTGCTTCCTAACCGGTGGTACTAACGTGCTCTTTCCCTTTCGTGTCTTGATGGCTTTATCTACCTTCTACATCCGTAGTTTCATCGAGTAGGAAACACAAATAGAATACTGTACTACATATTCATATCCTGCTTTCCTCGCTACAATTCCCATCATACCCAACTTTCTATGTATCATTCAATCCGCAGTATATGACACGAAGACTGCGAAATTGTAGTCAGGTTTCACGGTAGTAGTCGGAATAATAGGCCTGATCGACGTTTTTGGTGCAATATTCTCCCCGTTCACGTTTATTCTGAACATTTACGTCTTGTTTTTCGGTCTAGTAACGGTAGTCGTCGAGGCAGACGAACAGAGACTAGCAGATACACCGGTTCTGGAATATGCAGCGCCGAAAACAGTCGACGCACAGAAGTTTTTCAATTCAGAAGCAAAATTCCTCACATTGTATCTTCGTCCTTTTCCTTTTCTTTGTTGCTCCGCAACATGCATGTTAAGCATGGTCATGGACGACTCACTGGATGGAGCAGTTGTAGATGAATATGAATTAAGTACCTGGAGCATAGAAAAAAGTTGTAGTTGCTCGATATTATGAAGAACTCCGACATTATCCTCAAGTAATTTAGACCTATTTGATATCCACGTTCTACCGATTACTGATCTCTCAGACTATGGGGCCGGGGGCTCTTCTACATCTTCATCGGCCTCTTGATGATCACGCAGTCGTGCCTGGTATGCCTGTTTTTCTTGGCTGGAGCTGCAAATATCACTGTCGGCGTTCTCTCACTCTTGACGCATTTTGGGGTCGATGTTGATATCGACTACATGCAAGGTAAGCTACACTTGATGAAGATACTTAGTTTCAGGGAGTAAGAAAATAATTGATACAACATCAACTTGTATATATTCGTTTTCTACTCCTAATTAAGTACGTATTTTACTAGACTTGAGCACCCGGTTGCACTGCTCCCACTACAGTCCTCCACTCCCTACACGCACTTCCTCCGTCCCGGCATGCTTCCGCTTCCCCGGATCCTTCCCCGCCCGGCAACCGTCTGGCGGAGTTGATCGGCCGGACAGGAGTCGGGGCGGAAGCGTGGCAGTACTCAAAAAATTGCCGCTGCAGATCATTACCCTCAAAGTTTGAACCTTCTTGAAAATTCGTTTGCCATTGATAAAATAAAAATTAATAATTTTGAATTTGATTTTTTTTTTTTGGTGTTCGCTTGACACTGATAAAGTCAGAAACTTTGAACTTGAGTAGACCTTAAGTTTCAAATTTGAAATTTTGAAAATTCAAGAGTTTTTAACTATATAGCGTAAAGTTAGATCAAAAGCTGCTACTTGCTTAAATATTTTTGAATTCAATTTTTTTTGGAATTCATTCCTCAGTGATGAAATCCAAAAGGTTTTAATTTTATCACCTAAGATAAAATTTATAGCGCTTACTTGCTTAAATATTTTCCATGCCATGGCTCATGCGTTCACAAGTTTACGAGTTCACAAGTTCCTGGGTTCGCGAGTTCCTGGGTTCCTGGGTTTGTGAGTTCCTGGGTTTGTGGGTTCATGTTTTTGGCGTTGCAGTATTTTTGGTTCAAGTGCTTTTGGTTCAGGTGATGCTATTCTTGGTTCAGGTGTTTCTGGTTCCAGTTGTTTTGGTTCGGAGGTTGGCGGGGACGTTGTTGATTTTTTTTTTGCTCTTTCATTTCATCGTCTCTCTTCTATGGTATAACTATAACGTGAGCACCAGCTAGAGAGAGGACCCAACTCATGTTCTCTCTCACGACCTCCAGACCAAGCGGGCCAACTGTATGAGCGAGTGTCTTCTGCAGCAGACGCTGACGCCTCGCAATTTTCTTCTGCGGTCGAATCTTGGAAGAAGAGTAGCGCAGCCTCGGACAAGCTCCTCAAGGCGTTGTATTCACAAGCGACAGTAGGCGACGAAAAGGGGGAGCGACCATCGGGTTTCTTCAATTCAGGCGAAAGGGCCGAATACGATGCACGCGTGAAGCTCCAAGGGATGACAACGCTCGACGCAAAGAAGGAGTTTGTTGCTCGATGCAAGGCAAAGGGACTGTCATGGTGAGATTGCCTGCAGTTTGGAATCCTAAGAGTTCAGTTTCTTGTTCCAGCAGGTGTTTATTGCTGAAGCAATGTTTTAAGTAGTCATTTTAATGTAATTGTAGCGTAACAGATATGATTCGCGTTTTGATATACTAGTGTAATTGTCACGACCACGAGGTAGATAGAAGAAAAGATGTAAGATTTATATACCAAAAGCAGCTGCGCGCTTTCTCGATCTGCATCCCACCGTGCGCACAAAATGCCAAATGTGTTGTCTCTCGTATTCAATTAGCAGAAAAAATCCACGATTGAAGTAAATGCGACGCAACACTAATCAATGGTTTCGTCCCGTCGAGGAAGAACTAGTGCCTTCCTCTGCCAGATGTTGCAGATGCATGCGAAAATGAAGCTGACACTCTATCGCAGAGGAATGTTTGGCTACTTTCAAAGAATTTGATTTTTTTAGGGAGAAGACTTTTATCGAAGAACTTCGAAAATTCAGACGAGTAGTTCCCGACATCTAAGTCAACGTTTCTTTTCGTTTTTGCCGCGTTGCTTCGACATGCTCCTGTCCACACGTAAACGCACGAGAGGTCGCTATGGTGACATCACTCCGCAGGTGGCACTACCATCCGGTTTCCACAGGGGCAAAACTACTTCCTTACCCAGCTGACAGAGAGAAGTAACTCTTGATTGACAACTCGTTGACGTTGAAAAACAAACATTTGAAAAAAGAAAAGGAGATGCCCTTAGACCATCAAGCGAGTAGGAAGAGAAAATGAGCCGAGCGATTCGTTTTCTGAGTGACCGAGCGAACATCAAAGTGCAAGTGCAACAAGAACTATTCAATCTTTCATAGACAAGTATCCAAGTTAGATATTGCGAGTGTTCGAGTGTGAAAGGATGAAAACGAGCGCCATCGCCATAGCGAAGACGCGGACCCAAAAAACGAGCAAAACTGAGTAGTTGTGAGACCAGTATCTATAAAGTATCACACTAAAGTATAAGTATCTCGAAATGGTTTTGCGATGAACTACTCGTATGTCAGTAGTAATCGTATTCGTGTATTCTCGAATAGCTCGTGGTCGTGTTCGACGATTAATATAGTAGTGCTTGATGATGTTGGTCATTTTTTGTTGCGATTCGCCATCATATTCATAATTGACGTGTATTTGAAACGTAACGACAGGAAGTACCTATACTAGATTCTGACCTCTTAAGATTAGAGTTAGACCTTCCTCCTGACACATGACTGATTGAAAATTACCCCCAAAGTCCATGCCAATTAATAACGAAGAGACTCAGGCTTTTTGATTCTTGTTCGAAGTCTTCCTCGTTTGTCTTCGACTGTGATGTTAAATATCCTTTCTCTCGTAAATTCGTACCTCGAACTCGATACTCAACATTTTTGCATGCCTATCTGTCCATGAATTCGTATGAGAGTACACACTACTCCTGCATCAGACAAACACGACAACAAAATCAAAACGGAAAAAAGGCCGGCAGCCTCTGTTCCTATGTGGGAGCGGGGACTGACCCAGGGCGAAAAAAATGTGAAGGCTTACGGTATCAAGAGCAGTAACTAGAAAATGATCGATAGAATGGAACTAGTATGGCAAGGCGGCGACCCTGATGGTGGCCCGCCGCCAGCTTCCTCGTTGCCCCTCTTGTGGGCGGACAAGCCTACGCCGTCGTTTCCGTCTCGTGTGCGACGACAGCCACCACGATACCGTAACTGCGGACGACGGGTCATTGCAGCTTCCCTCTTTCTGCCTGCCTCCGTCTGCGGGGGCGCGGCCGGCACGAGTGGCACGGAAACATCTTCAAATAACATGGCGCATACTTCTTCTTCCGCCAGCGCCGCTTCTCTTACAGGTCGGTCGATGACAGCGGCACAAATCGATGAACGTAGTGACCACGATAGGTTGGGGAGTTCTAAAGGGAGGCAGCTTCGGCACGAGGAGCAGGATGTACTGCATCCGCCAGGAGGAAGAATTTCAGCGGCAACTACACGAGGGCTGGAGGCCGTGGCTGGTGTAGATCCCCTACATGATTCCAGCAAGGATGAACATCCGTCAAAAGATGCTCCAGCAGGACGAGGAGGCGAAGAGCAGAATGATGGACAGGAGAGACAACTCGGGCAGGTCGAAGAAGAGGAATTCCGTGTTTCGCATCCTGTAGAGCTTAGCTCGGTAAAGCACGCAATAGCACGAGCTCCGCCTATGGCACGGATGTGCCACCGAGGGTCCACGAATCCTGCCTGTGCCCACTCAGCCAGAAATCTCAAGAAATGGGACGAGGAAAAGCTGAACCTTCAAACGGATTCGCACCTGGCAGCACCCGGAGGTGTCGCGCAAGATATCCGAGACGAGCAGGTACGTCTAGTTGTACTACACACAGGACATAACTACAGATTAGTTGGCCTGCTTTTGTGTCGTTGACTCCTGAGTGATCGATGTTGGACCACAGCTCAACACTCATTTCCTCAATTGTATCCTTTCCCCCAAAAAACATCAGACACTTGCTGCGGCGGCATTAAGACAGAGCCCAGATGGTGCGCAGGTGGACAAAAAAAGTCGACATCTGGCTGCTCACACAGCCATGACGGTACAGCCTGGTCACAGAATATACAAGCGTATCAAAAGTGGGTCACTTCTGTTCGCAGATGCAAACTATGTGAATGTAACGACCCTCAGAAATACAACCTTTCACTTGCCAGTGCAGCCTCCAAGCGTCCGGATATACCAGCCTCTCGTGACAAATCAGCCAAGTACTTCGATTCTCTCTCTCGACTATGCGTGGCTTGCTGGCTTTCTCTATCCCATACGTTCTTTCATCATATGACATATTTATTAATGTCAAGTTTGCAGCTACTCTTTTCACTCCCTCCCCGTATGTATTTTTGTTGTATTACTAGACGACTTCGACTTTTCACTTCCGTCCATCCCTTCACTCTCGTCCTTGGTGATTTACTACACATAATCGTTGTTCATCACTCTATTCTTCCTTCTACTGCCTTACAGGCATTAATAATCGCAAATGTCAAGATTGCTTTATCAGAATCTTTATCGTAGAAGTTAGTAGATGAAAATGAAAAACGACTCTTGCTGTGGACTGTAGCCAGCAAATCAATGCGATAGTGATTGTTACTAGACTTAAGCGCTCGGCAGCACTCCTCCCACTAGAATCCTCCACCCTCTGCACGCACTTCCCCCGCCATTGCGTGGCTCAGCTTTCCCGGCTCCTTCCCCGCGTGACAACCGTCTGGCGGAGTTGATCGGTGGAACGGCACAAGAGTCGGGCTCTGGGCGGCCTGCGGCCATTGAAAAGGCACGCCCGGAAATGGTCGGCCCGGGAGTTTGCTGGTCTTCTGTTAGGTTTGGCATCTTTGCGGAAAGCTGAAGCTTCTAAGTTTCAAACCTTTAGCATTCGCCTACTTGGAAGAAAGTTCAACACTTTTCATCTAATTTTTTCAATGTTTCGCTTTCTATGATAAGAACAAAAACTTTGCTACTTTCGCAATTTCAAACTTGAAGCTTCAGCTTAAAACTTTTCAAAATCCCAAAATTTTTGATTTTGTGGTCCAAAAAATGAATTTAAATGCCAGGGTGGCGCGTTGTAGGCTTCAAGCTGAAGCCCTGAAGCCTCAAGGCCGTAGCTCCTAAGTGTAGCAGTTACCTACAGGAACTCACTGGCTCAGGGGGGAGCTATCTACAAGGATGCCACGCCATGCCCATGGGCTCATAAGTTCAAGAGTTCGCGAGTTCATGAGTTGCGGGCTGGGGGTTCGGGAGTGTGAGGCTGAGAGTTTGGCGGGGTAATTGTTGACTCTTTCCTTGGCTCTTTAATATTTTCTAAAGACTATAAGTAAAATATATAATTATTCTCGTCCTGCTCACAAAATTACAGCGAGTCTACTGAACTACGCAGAGCCGTTTCAGATTTCTTTCGAAGAGCTGGACCAGGAGTGCAAGAATGCGGTGACAAATTTTGTCATCTATGAAGGAATCACTTTTGCCGCCGACGAATGCCGCAGCCACTGCCAGCTGAAGCCTTTTCACACATCATGGCCAGCAGCTTGTCATCACGATGTCTGCGATCTCTGGGTAAAGATGCTCACGAAAGAGTCGACGGGGATTGCACCATGTCGAAAGTATTGCATTTTTCGTCGAAAAGCACCTTTTTCTATTTTTCTTTACAACAAAAACAACAGACCTGCGTTTCTTCTGCTAGAGTAACGACACGAGTATCAATGTGCATCACACGACACACACCTTCTTTTTACTTAGGTACATTTGCTACATCGCTCCGTACCTTGCCGGAAACACTGGACATGATATGAATCACCACTGTGGGGCTCGGTTTCTCCGTGACGCATATACTTTCTGCGACTGGACACATCGAGGAGGCTCGATGTGGGCGGGTGCAAATTCGCGCGTGCCAGGACAGTTAACTTACCCAGTGAGAGCACAGTACGGATCGTATCCCGTTCGAGCGCGATGGGCCGATCTTACGATAGAAGAAAAGACCGAGTTCACTCATCTTGGTTGGGCAGAGCAGACATGGCCAAACAGACGATTTACGCTCATCTTCGCAGGAGACAGCGCCTATGATGTCTACGCAGGCAACGTACTTTACTTGCAACTTCAAACAAGAAGATAATGACACACTAGTAGAGATGATTCGTGGTGGCAGATGAATTATGTTGATGTATATCATCGATCTAGGCCAAGATATAGGAACACGACTCAAAGAACAGTTGTTAGTCCTGTAGTTAAAATTTTGAACCACTAACTATGGATCACTAAACACAACGACCAACAGACAACTATGACTGTGAAGAAGAGTTGGTACAGTAGCTGGGCGCCCAGTAGCGAATTCATGTGTTATGAGGAACTCAGTGAGGTGCAGAAAGATGCAGCAAGAAAGTTGCACTACACCATCGATGGATGGCACGCGAACGCAGATATTCCCGGTCTCAGAGACCACTGCGATTGGCCACAGTACCTGGCGAACGAAGGCGTCTATCGCGTGGACGGGGAACTGTACTGGAATTTTGTAGGACATTTAGTGAAGATAGACTCATACCAAGATGAAGATCCTAAACATTTGTAGAAATTTGAATTTTTTCAGATTCAGTGGTTAATACAGTAGGTACTGTTGATACTGGTTCCGTGCGTGAGAAGATGATGGCAATATTACGAGTGATTCATCAACACCAGATACGACTGCATGAAGTGGCGAGGGTATCTAGAGCGCGCGTTGCACAGGCAATTCAGTATCCAACCTTGGAGTACCATGACAGTACAGCGCCGAGAAGCTTACACTACTCTAGGGTACAACACACCGCAGTCCTGGGATCAGCGCAACATGCCAGACACGTTTGTCATGAAATGGGATAAGCTCACGACCAGTCAGCGCGGCGCAGCAGAATTTCTGATGTACACAGAAGACACCTGGAATGGATGCGCGCAAGAGTTTTGCATCTATCGACTGCTGTACGCAGAATCCCTGTTGATTCCGACTAGATCCACTGATTTCCGCAAAATCGACTGGAACATGTTTGCAGATTTCCAGAAGGTGCATCTAGAACAATTGGGCTGGCAAGCCGATAGTTGGAACGACGGTGGGCCTATCCCAGCGACCATGTACAGAACATGGAACGAGCTCACACCAACATTGCAAACAATCGCGAGGAAATACGGTATAGTTTACTGTACCTGGATGCTTGGGCTTTTAATGGCGTTGGTTGCTTGCCTAATTTTTAATGCTGGTCATCATATTTTACTAGCCTGCGTACTTCCAAGATCCAGCTCGACAAACAAGAATGCACTTTCAAAAGAGTTGTTACGAGGCTCCTAATTGCTCACGATCTCATTGCTACCTTTTACAACTCAACCCAGGTCACAGCGAAGACACATGGGCAAGATGCCCGGACACGCCTTGTCTGATGAAATATGACTACATCCAGCGCAAGTACACTGGGCCTTGGGCGCGCTTGTCTCCTCGAGTGCAGAGAACATTCATCAAACTTGGGTATTACTACTTTTTCTAGTGACTAAGTAGCATGTACAATACTTACTCTACTTCCTCTGCTAACTAATTTTAGACGTCGTTGTATCGCACTCACTGTCGTGACAATGCGTCAAGTCACGAAGTCACCTCAGGTGGACACAGCCGATGTGGGACAACAAGCAAGCGGGAATTTCGCAGGAAATGCCAGATACCTATCGAAAGCTCTGGAAAGACTTATCTGTGGATGAGGTAGTTATTTGTTCCGATTTCCGCTCACGAGATGCAGCTAATACGCTCAGAGCCTTGATGTTAGCATAAAACATGAAAAGCAAGAACATCATCCATTTTCATCATGATCTGACTGTGACTCTGACCGTTACTTAAGAACGGCATCTGCCATGTTGATAAAACAACTACAGCAACTAGATGCAATGTTTTTCGATTACGACGAGTTTTCGTGGAACGGATGCGCCGGTGCGGACCAGCCACAGACAACGACACTTCCTCCACCTTCAACCGCCGACCCGTTTAGAAGAATTCGAGCGCGACTTTATATGCCCCGAAGCTTCAACGAGATTATGTCTGTCCAACCTACGATGACTGACACAACGACACCGGAACCCGCTGTAGCGTTAACAGGCGATGCGTTCTCGACTACCATTGCGCCAGATACGACGACTGGGTACAGCGTGTTCGTGCAGTTTGTTTTGACACTGTTGAGTTCGATAGTAGTTGTGCCTTTTTCTTATTTTTTATTTTTTCAGAACTACGCGAAGGTAGCGCTTTCCTTACTAGACTTAAGCGCCCGGTAGCACTCATCCCACGAGAATCCTCCACCCTCTGCACGCACTTCCCCCGCCATTGCGTGGCGCCGCTTACCCGGCCCCTTGCCTACGGAGTTGACCGATGGAACAGCACAAGAGCCGGGCTCTTGGCGGCCTGCGGCTATTGGATCGGCATGCCTGGAAATGGCAGGCTTGGGAGCTTGCTGGCCTTCTTTTGGGTTTGACATCTTTGCGCTTGCGGAAGGCTGAAGCGTTCAACTTCGACGCTAGCAAGTTTGTCCGAGATTCAACTTCTTGGATTTGAGAACTCAAATCCAAAAACTCTCGACTTTCGCAAGTTTTTCTGGCATTCAAGTTCTTAGATTTGAATTTCTCAAATCCAAAAGCTTTTGACTTTAGCAAGCTTTTCGGAAATTCAATTTCTCGGATTTGGACGATTTTAGCCAGTTTTTCTGAAATTCAATCCCTTGGATTTGAATTGCTCAAATTCAAAAACTTCCGACTTTTTTTAGCAAGTTCGTCTGACGTTCAATTTCTTGGATTTGAATTGCTCAAATCTAAAAACTTCTGACTTTCGCAGGTTTTTCTGGAATTCAACTTCTTGGATTTGATTCGCAAGCTCTCGGAAGTTCTTAATGTCATAAGTTCACAAGTTCCTAAGTTTGTTGCTAAGAAGGTTGGGATGCTTATGAGCTCCTAAGTTTATGAGTTCCTAAGCTTATGAGTTCCATCCTATTAGGACTAGTAGTTTATGAGTTCTTCAGTTTATGAGTTCATAAGTTAGTTTATGGGCTCGTAAGTTTATGAGTTCATAAGTTTATGAGTTCATAACTCGTAAGTTTCTGAATTCATAAGTTTCGGAGTTCATAAGCTTCTGAGTTCCTAAGTTTGTGCGTTTATGAGTTCACATAAGTTTATGAGTTCTTGGCTTCATGAGTTTGGGGGGTTTGAGTTTGGAGAGTTTGAGTCTGGAGCGTTTGAGTTTGGAGCGTTTGAGTTTGGCGAGTTTGAGTCTGGAGAGTTTGAGTCTGGAGGGCTTGACTTTGGAGAGTTTGAGTTTGGGGAGTTTGAGTTAGGAGAGTTTGTGTTTGGAGAGTTTGGAGGGTGCAAGTCTGGGCGGGTTGTTGTTAAATTTTTCTTTAGCTCTTTAATACTAGACTTCAGCGCCCGATGGCTCTCCCTCCACTAGAATCACCCACCTCCCTCGAGCATTTCCTTCGCCAAGACGCGCCCCCCCCGCTCCTCTTCCGCCAGCTCGCGACGCTTTCCCGGCGAAGTGGTCCGCGCCAGAGGAGCCGGAACAGAGGCGCCGCGGAATTTAACAGAGGAGGCCGCTCCGTTCTGTCTCTGAGGTTTTTGAGATGTCTCAAGGTTTGCTTGCTTTTAAATTTAGTGCAGGGCTTTGGGTCGGGATTCTTGATTGCGAAGCTTCGCGCGCAAGTCTTTGAGGTGGAGACTTGGGGCGAGATTGATGAAAGGCTTTGGCTAGCAGCTTGAAGCTCGCGGCCGCTTTCAGTGTGAAGCTTTGGACTTCGGCTTTCAGTGTGAAGCTTTGAACTTCGGCAAAGCTCGAGGCGTAGGGCTTCGGGCTTGGCGCTTTCATTTTGAAGCTTTGGACTTGCAGGCTGAGGCTTTGGACTCGAGCGAAGTGCCGGGCTTGAAGGGTTTGGCCAGAAGTCTTGGATCTGAGATTTTGGGTCTGAAGTTTTGGGCGTAAGATCCTGGATTGGAGGCCTTGGATTGGAAACGTTGGACTGAGTCTTGGCTTGAAGTCTTGGCTTTGAAGTTTTGGGCTTGAAGCCCTGGGCCTGAAGTTTGGGGCTTGAGGCCTTGAGCCTGAGGCTTTGGGCTTGAGTTTTTGGATTTGCGTCCTTGAATTTGAAAGGTTTGAAGCTTAGTTGTGGTTGACAAAGTCAAAACTTTGCAGCTTTTGCGCAAAATCGCAAAGCTTTTGGGCTTTATCGCTTAGGATCTAAATTGGTGAGCATTTGGCTCGAGTGTATTTGGCTCGAGTGTTTCTGGTCTGAGTGTTTTTGGTTCAAGTTCTTACTTTTGGCTCAAGTGCTTTCGCTTTCGGTTCAGGTGTTCTCTGTTCGGAGCTTGGACTTGGAGGGGCGTTGTTGATTTTTCATTATGCGTGAGGGCTTAGGGTCTACAGGCTATCGATTTTAGCAAGTTTGTCTGCCATTCAATATCTTTTATTCAAATGGATGCCTCAAGTCCAAAAGTTTTCGATTAATTTTAGCAAGTTTGTCTGAGGCTCAACTTCTTGGATTTGGATTCTTCAAGTCCAAAAGTTCTCGACGGACTTGAGCGAGTTCTGCCGAGGTAGGTTCAATTTCTTGGGTTTCAATTTGCCAAGTCTCAGAGTTTATTTTTGACTTTAGCAAGCTTTTCCGCGATTCAATTTCTGGGATTTCAATCGCCCAAGTCCAAACGTTTCGGATTTTGCCAAGTTCTCCGTAAGTTCTTCGTCGGTTCTTCTTATAAGTTCTTCCTAAGTTCTTCAGAAGTTCCTCATAAGTTCCTCATAAGTTCCTCATAAGTTCCTCATAAGTTCCTCATAGGTTCTTCATAGGTTCTTCAGAGGTTCTTCATAGGTTCTTCGTAAGTGCTTCATAAGTTCTTCGTAAGTTCTCCCTAAGTTCTTCATAAGTTTGCTCGCCATAAGTTTTTCATAAGTTCTGCGTAAGCTCGTCATACGCTCATCGTAGGTCCTTCATAAGTTCAGAAGTTCATAAGTTCACGCGTTTGAATTTAGAGAGTGCGAGTTTGGCGGGGTTGTTGTTCTTCATAAGTTCGTAAGTTTATGAGTTTGAATTTAGAGCGTGCGAGTTTGGCGGGGTTGTTGTTGAGTTTCTTTTCGAGCTCTTTAATACTAGCTATGGGCGCCTAATAACATCCCTCCCACTAGGATTTCTCTCCTCCCGAAAGTAAGAAAGTAGGCGCGGCCTGTCTGCGTGGGTTTTGCTCGTCTTGTCTCTCTTCTTTCTTCATCTCATGGCCGAAAATTTTCCACGTTTTTCCGTCGTCTTGGGATTGAATTCACTGGGTTGGAAGTGCTAAAATCCCAAAATTTTTGACTTTAGGCACTTTCTGCGAGATTCAATCCCCTGGGCTCGAATTTTTCAAATTTCGAAAATTTTCCACGTTTTTTCGTCGTTTTGGGATTGGGGTCTGCGGCTTTGAAGTGCTAAAATCCCAAAGCGTTCGACTTTAGACCCTTCCCCTGGGATTCAACTCCCTGGGCTCGAATTTTTCAAATTTCGAAAATTTTCCACATTTTTTCGTCGTTTTGGGATTGAATTCCGTGAGTTTGAAGCGCTAAGCCCTAAAGCTTTTGACTTTAAGCACTTTCGCCGAGGTTTAATCTCCTGGGCTCGAGTTTTTCAAATTTCGTTTTGGGATTGAATTCTGTCGGCTTGAAGTGCTAAAGTCCCAAAATTTTTGAATTTAGACACTTTCTCTGAGATTCAACGCCATGGACTCGAATTTTTCAAATTTCGAAAATTTTCCACGTTTTTCCGTCGTTTTGGGATTGGCTTCTGTGAGTTTGAAGCGCTAAAGCCCCAAAGTTTTTGACTTTAAGCGCTTTCGCTGAGTTTTAATTTCTTGGGCTCGCATTTTCGAAATTTTTTATATTTTTTCGTCGTTTTGGGATTGAATTCCGTGAATTTGAAGTCCTAAAATCCCAAAATTTTTGATTTTAGGGCCTTGCTCTGACATTCAATTTCTTGGATTCGAGTTTTTCAAATTCCGAAAATTTTGCGCGTTTTTTCGTCGTTTTGCGATTCAGTTCCGTGAGTTTGAAGTGCTAAAGTCCCAAAGTTTTTGACTTTAAGCACTTTCCCCGGCAGTCAATTGCTTGGCCTCGAGTTTTTCTTAAGTTCGTGGCTTCTTGGTTTCCTGGTTTCCCTTTCCTGGTTTCCTGATTAATTTCTTGGTTTCGTGGGTTCATGGGTTTGGGGTTTGTTGGTTTTTGTGTCGGAGGTTGTGGGTTTGGGTGTTGGAGGTTGAGGCTTCGGAGGGGAAGTGTTTGCTGAATTTTATTGCTCTTAATATTTCCAGCAATTATAATTTGCTTGTTCATGATGATACTCTGATGCTATGAGCAACAAATCGGATGCTGGTCTCTACTTCATCTTCGTGCTGCTTCTGGTGCCCATCATCGTCACACCTACCCCGCCATCAGGTTCGTCAAAGTCGCACAGCAAGCGATTGCGCGGACGTTGTTCTGCAATAATCCTGACTATAATCCCAATACGAATCCCGACCAGCGGGACCCCAATGGTATGCCGCTGTGCATGGATAAGGACCCGTATGACCGACAATTGGAGCGAATCATCATTTTGAACGTTGGCCAGGGAATCTTGATGGATTTCGAAGTTTTGGCGAATCGAACAGGGACCGAAGTGAGCGCAGTAAATCTGTTTGCGCGTCTTCTCACGGCTACTAATAATCCGCAGAGCGATTTCCGTCACGACGCAGACTTCCAACGATTCTCCTCCGTGGCTCAGCTGTCAATGGTATTGGATCTACCACAACATACTTTTGGCTCATCCTCATCTTCAATTAATAGAATTCTTCAGTCCTTCAAAACATACTTGAACTTGTCGTTTCATCCGATTCTTGTCGTTTTCTGACTCTGCGTATCAAATAAACTTCAACTTCTTGCTTCACTCAGTTGACGTTTTCCGAGTCTGAGTATCAGGAGGAGCAAGCCAACTTGCAGTTCGAGTTTCTCCGTGCTCGTTACGACGAGGAAACCGGGTGTCAACTGTTCAGTGATAAAAAACACGACATCAATATGTGTCCTATCGACTCTGCGCACCGTGCGTCGGCCTTGTGGTTGAGCGTTGGGTTTCTCGCGATGTGGCCCCTTTTTACGCAGAGGTGGGCAATCTTCTAAAAATAGCCTTCTGCAGCTGAGTTGCACATGCATATGTTTTTTTCGCGTTCAGTCAACCAAGGTGGAGATCCTTCTGTCAATCTTAATTCTCACTAAGCGTATAAAGCAACGAATTTGTCATTCCCGTTCTTAATAAGCGAAATCAGACTTCTTCCCAAAATAGCTTGCTGTACTTCAGAATTTATAGGAAGCACCGACGAGCTGGCTGTATGGAAATTAGAGTACCCATGCATAGCTTGCTCTTCTACCTCTTGCATATTGTAGGTACCTCGAAATTGCATGACAGCAACAGTGCCTGTTTGCGAAACCTTCTTGTTATTTGAATGAGTAAAAATAAGCCCTCGCACCGTTTCTCAACCATGAGTACCCTTATTTTTTTGTTCAATCCCCGAGCATCCCCGTCGCTTCTTCATCCCTTAATTCATCATTATCTCCCAAACAAAGTAATTTAGGTTGCTTCCAAAGGCAACTGGGCCAATCCCTGGCCGCGCTACTGAAATGTATCTCAGAATAAGATCAGTATTATTTAGATTCACTTTCACGTTTACTTACCTTGCAAGCAACAACCACGATTGTATGTTGTCTGAACTGGATTTTCACTGTATTGACACTGTCGATGATTTACTATTCTTACAAAGTTAGTAGTCGAAGTAACATATCCACTGCAGAATCCACGGGATATTGGTTACTACAATGAGTACAGATTTCTAACGCTGTGTGGTTGAATCTCCATCTTTTACGATCAAAGACTAGACCAAGACATTATCTTCTTAGGGAAGCGCAAAGCGCAGGCCTTCCGTATAAGAAAGCAACGTGTTTCATCGTCGGTGCTTCACCATACAGACGTAGATATTACTACTGCGCATCCGTGGTCACTTTTTGCCTTTCTGTGTTGTGCACCTAACAAAAAAGCTATTTTTGGTAGTAGAAGAGTCTCCGAGACGAGGGTGACGCGACAGGGCTTGCAACCAGTCACCGGCATGACGCTAATGTTGTACTTCCGTCAAAGCATCTACTGAAATAGAGTAGCCAATGGCGGAGGCTGGAATCTTCACTAAGTATTAGGACGGTTCGCGCCGTACCTGCTCGATAATGGCGCAGCGTTTCTCCTTTTTCGGTGCTACGGTCGTTCTCGTCCTGCCCTTTGTGACTGCAAGGAAAGTTGGCAACAAGCAGACGTCTGCGAGAGCCACTTCTTCCACATGGAGCAGTGAGCGTGCGTTTTTGCGATCCTCCACCGCGAGACGGCAACCCGTCGGTCATGCGTCTGAGGATGTTGGGAGGCGAGCTTCATCCGGAGAAGCTTTGAACGCAGTCGCTCGTACACTTGATGCTGTTCCATCGATAGTAGCATCTGGCCCAGATGTGACCGATGTAGGAGTCTCGAGAACAGGTGATTCGAACAGTGATGAAAATGAGTCGACTGCGTCATCTTCAGAGGAACAGCAAGAAGATGCAGTCCAAGAAGGAGTTGATGGAGAAACACAAACAGGTTTTGGCGCGCAGCCTGCTCCGGAGCAACGAGCAACAACTTCGAATGTTAAGCTAGCGGCTATCGAAACAGGGGGTTCATCGTCTGAAGTGAAAAATACAGTGTCAAAGAACATCCGCCACCGTCTTTACGATGATTCGCGCACTTTGGGGACTGCAGCGGAGCAGCTTCTGGGCATCCAAGCAGACCTCAATCGCGTTCAAACCGAAGTACAGGGTCAAGTTTTCGATCTCGAGACTGTCCGCAACTTTTTCTCAGAACACCAATATCTCACCGCTGCAAATAAGCAGCTGGAAGTTATGTCGTTGGCTTGATGTTAGATCACTAAATTAGTAAAACGCAAATGCAAAATGAAAAGTTTCTAATTCTTGGGATAAAATCAGTCACCTCCACTGTAGAAGACTCGTGATCGATGATTAGAAAAGACTCTTCCGGCGTTCATTTTGCAGAAGAGTAGTGTGCTGCTGCACAAGGTTGCGACCATCGGGCAGGAGTTGGTTGACGCACAGCGCGAGTTCGCGAATACCACAGCGGCCCTTCGAGCGCGCGCAGAGTCCGCGGAGCTTGCCATGCAAAAACTGACGGAACGCGAAGGCGAAATAGAGAAAGACTACATTGGACATCGAGCCTCGATAGCTGAAGACGAAAAGATTCGAGCCGAAAACTCGGATCTGATCGAAAAGATGCGCCACATGAACAAGCTAGAAACCGAAAAGCACGAGGCGACCCAAGCAGCAGCGGCAGCCGATGAGAAAGTCAAGCACCGAGAGCATTTCGCTGAGGAACTCCAGGGAACGATCAAAACACTGCGCCAGCAAGTTGCGGTTCTACAGAAGGGCATGGGCGAGAAGGACGCGATCTTAGTGGATCACGTGAAGAAACTCAAAGACGCCGCAAAAAAGGTCGAAGACGCGGATAACGTACCATACTAGTATCCATGACAATGTTGACCTGGAGAACAAGGGTCAGTCTATGTTTGTCACTTTTTAATTGAGAAAGTTATAATCTTAATAGCCCCCCGGGCTGGGGTGCTCCGGGAGACGTTGAAGAAGAGGAAAGAGCTGCTTTATTGGCGTGGGCTTGCGTGAATGGTCTCACGAGGTGAAACAAGCGCCCGAAGGGCGCGCACTCCCCTCCGCCCCGCGGTTGCCGGAAGCAAGAGGCCCCAAATACGTGGCGAAAGAAGTGCGACCCCGTTCCCAAGATGGTAACGAGCGCCGGCGGGCAGTTACATGCGCAACATCACGCGCAGCACCACCTTCCACGCGCTGGCCGCCGTAGTTGGCGCGGGTCCTTGTGGTTCTCTCTTTTTTTTTTTTTCTCTTTTCGTTCCGTCCGTGGCACGGTGCCGGGCTTATAGCGAACAAAGGAACGAAGCAACCAAGCAAGAGACAACGGGAAAGCCCGGAGAGGGTGGGGCCCCGAAGGCATCGCGAAGGAAGCTGGGGCCAGTCCCCAGGGCTCAGCGGCGCGCGCGTCATCTCTACCCCCGTCGTGACTGTTTCGGGGCTCTATTCCACCGCGTCACCTGCTCGCAAGGGGTCCCGCGCATTGCAGAGCGGCGCGCGCATCCCTACCCCCGTCGCAACTGTTTCGGGCTCTTATTCCACTGCGTTACCCGCTCGCAGCTGAGCGGCCTCGCGTGCCAGGGTGCTGCACGCAGCGGCGCGCGCGTCCCTACCCCCGTCGTGGTTTTTTCGGGCCTCTATTCCACTGCGGTGCCTGTTCGCAGCCTGCCAAGCGGCTCCCGGCGCGCGCTGTTGTTGTTGTGGTTGTTGCGGTTTTCTGCTGTCTTCTGTTGCCTCTTGTCGTCTTCTGTTGTGGTTGTCTCTTGTGCTTGTTGTCTTCTGCTGTGTCTTTCTGTTCTCTCTTGTTCTCTGCTGTGTCTTTCTGTTTTCTGTTGTTTTTTGCTGTCTTCTGTTGGGCCTTGCGTGCCAGGGTTCTGCGCTGACTGAGCGAAGGCAAAGACCTGCAGCGCCGTGCTAAGCTTGTGGCGTCTTGTTCGTAGTGTCTTGCTCGTGGTGTCTTGTCTGTCGGGCCTTGTCCGTCCGTCGGGTCTTGTTCGTGGCGCCTTGTTCGTGGGGTTTTCTTCGTGGTGTCTTCTTCGTGGTGTCTCCTTCGTGGTGTCTCCTTCGTGGTGTCTCTTGGCTTCGTGGTGTCTCCTTCAGTTCTCTGCGTCTCCTTCGCGGTGTCTTGTTCGTGGTTTCCCCTACCTTCGTGGTGTCTTGTCTGTTGTTTGATTGTGTCTTGTCTGTGGGGTCTTGTTCGTGGTGTTTTGTTCATGGTGCTCTGTTTGTCGTGTGTTGTTCGTGGTGTCTCGTTCGTGGTCCTTTGTTCGCGGTGTCATCGTGTTCGCGGTGTCATCTTGTTCGTGGTGTCTTGTTCGTGGTGTCTTGTTCGTGGTGTCTTGTTCGCGGTGTCTTGTTCGTGGTGTCTTGTTCGTGCTGTCTTGTTCCTCGTGGTGTCTTGTTCCTCGTGTTTTGTTCCTCGCGGTGTCTTGTTCGTGGTGTCTTGTTCGTGGTGTCTTGTTCGCGGTGTCTTGTTCGTGGTGTCGTGTTCGTTGTGCCTTGTCTGTGGTGCTCTGTTCGATGTGTCTTGTTTGTGTTGTCTTCTTCGTGGTGTCTTCTTCGTGGTGTCTTGTTCGTTGTTCTTGTTGTGCAATTTTTCCAACTGGTGGCGCCTTGCAGGTTCTCTAATAAATGTTCACACTAAGGGGTCTTAGGGGTCCTTTCGTGTTCACACTAAAGGGGTCGAACAATGTTCACACTATGAGCTCTTTACTGTTCACATCAGAGGCGTCTTAGAGGTCTTTTTGCGTTCACATAAAGCTTTGAGGGGAGGAGGGTTCTCTAGCTTTCACACTTAAGGCGTCTTAGCGGTCCTTTAGTGTTCACATTAAAGGGGAAGAGTGCTCGGGGATTTTTACTGGTACTCAAATAGAGTCTTAAGAAAAACAAAAACACCGACCTGAGACCTAGCTGTCAAAGTCAAAGTCATCTTTCTCAATTGCACTAGGCTCGTATCTTGACGCTCGAGCAAGGTGCGGAGACGCTGCAAATTCGCATTAAGCATCAGGAAGGCAGTATCGCGTCCTTGACGGCGCGTAACGCCGAGTTAGAGAGCCTCCTCAAATCTGTACAAGGCCAAGCAGTGACGAAGTTCGAGCAGATGAAGGATCAGATTGGTCAGTACAAGACCCATGTGGTGTCTCTGCGCGAGTCTGTAGCACAAAACATAGCTGCGCGAAAAACGGCAGAGAACGAAGCGCAGCGCCTCACGCAGTTGCTGGTCAAGAGCGACTCTCAAACGCTAAAAAACCAGCTGGATGAGGTACATTCATGCTTACATAAAAATTCGACGACCGGCTTGTTACTGTGTGTTGAATGAAGATCAAAGGAGTTGAAGTTTTAACTTTTGAATTTTCGTCATCGTCTATCGTTTCAGTTTCATCGAGCTACCACAACAACTTGAATCTTGTCGTTGGTCAGGTAAAGAAGGCGCAAGCCGAATGTCAGAACGACTTGCGGGACATGTCGACTGAGAAAGCAAGAGCTGAGGCCGCACGTGTCGAAGCCGAGTCCGCACGCTCCGCAGCAGAGAACACGGCTGCTATCGAGCGTGCCGCCGCAGAGAAAGCACGCGCCGAGAAAGCTGAGCGCGTAGCATCATGCGAGAAACAGAAAGCCGAGGAACTGGAGGAGAGGGGAAAGGAGCTTCTGGCGTGCAACACAGCTATGAACAACCTGGAGCAGCAGAAATGCGGTGCTCGCTGGGCAGAACTGAACAAGGAGTCAGTTGCGCAGATCGAGAAGTGCAAAATCGAGGTCCCGAGTCTGAAGGAAAAGGTTCGCACCCTGAAGAGCGAGGTCGCAGTTCTGCAGGCGGCAGCTAACGGTCGCCTACTCAACAGCGAACCGGGAACCAGCGGAGAAGCGTCAGCCAATGCGGAGACTGGTAGCGCAGCAGCCGCGGAAGATGGTACAGAGCAAGCGGGCGCAGAAGAGGGCGCGGCAGACGCAGCGGCAGAGGAGAGTGCGGCGGCCACCGCGGCCGAAGGACAAGTTTCCGCGGAACAGTAGTTACCGAGGATAATCCTGTTGAATTGGTAGCGCTACAGCTCCCAAAGTGAGCAGACTGGTTGCTTACCATGTTTTTTCCGTTTCATAATTTACAAGTAGGGACGACGATTTGATCTTGAATTTACGGAACCCGACGACGGCAGAATTTTTTTCCAGGAAACTACTCAGTCAGGAGATTCAATCAGTAGTGGATTTCACGAAATCTTGAGCCTTGTTGCCAGGTGAGTCGATCCGTGGGTACCGGTGCCCTTCTGTGCCCTCGCTGGTATACTATAAGTTACCGGCACGCGATCGGTAGCTCTACGCCGAACATACCATGAGAACATGACATCGAGCTACCACGTACTCTTAATCTGTGTTCATTACTTGGCAACCCCGCGATAGAGAAGTGATTCTAAAAGATATGGACAGAAAAGACGATGTAATATTCTTGGAGAATCTGTCGCTGTTAAGACAGCAGGTCCATTGAATTAGCGACAGACTTGTCGGTTTCATGCTACTAACCCCTTCCATGTCCATCGGTAAATTGATCATTCTCATTCTGCTACTGCTTCGACCACCGCAGTGTGGTAGAAGAACGGGGTCCTCTGTCAAGCCGTCACTGATTCGGTTGTGGATCCCGTACAGCTTTTGCGAATGTTATTTTCACGCACGACACACTCTTCATCTCCTTTAATCCACGACTTTTACATTGTACCTCTTGCTGTCAGCAACCCCACAGATTTCCGTGGTGTCTTGGATTTATGACAACTCTATCTTGCGCTTGTGGTGTTTACAGTAATGGACGAATGTTGCGTCATTGCCAGCATTATAGAATCATTCCCACTTTGCAGCCCTCATTTATACGAGAGATGTAAACAAAGTTAGTTGCTGAGTCCTGTTTTCACTGCGCGTCAAGGTATCCGTACTACCCGGACACACAAGAAGATGAAGAGCCTCGTTCGCAAAAACCGGGAATCGTCCACTTGGAAGAATCAGTTGGAAACCCTGCACGAAGTCGACTCTCCCATACGCGTGAAAAATGACATGCGGATCTTGCCCGATTCTCCGGCGCCCGTCGTCTCCCCACTGGTATTTGCAATGGACGAAGCTTCAATCTACTCCACTCTGTCTGACTGTTGGCTCTCATTACAGTGAATTGTGCTTAAGTCGTCCTCGTAAGTGTAGCGCACAAATAGTAAATCGTGGTCCTCGCTTTGATAATCAAATATTACCTAATGTTGAGTCCACCTCCAGCTCCAGTGCCACTGCCACTGCTCTTATCTCAACTTCACAGGGGCCGTCCACCACCACCCTCCATCATTCGGGCAGTGCAGGGAGCGCGCCGGACTCTCGTGTTGCGTCTGCACTCCAACGTGAGTCAGTCCGGTGGTCGCGTGCGAACGTTGTGGTTAGTCCCGTAATTCATCAGCCTGATGTTCATCAGCAAAGTGAGGGATCCCAACCTTTTCATGATTCGGGCAATTGGACGAAAAACACTAGTGTTGACGTGGGAAACTATAACAATAGTTCAGGAGGTGGTCGTGGAGCAGGTCCATCGCAACTACAAGAAGCGCAGTTCAACACTACTGGAGGACGCGAGGTTGCCGAGGCGATGCTGGGGATGCAACCGAAGCGGGCGAGAGGTGCGACGAATGCTAAAGTGAAGTTGTCGACGCTGCTGCTGCTCTCGGAAGCGCCAGCGCATCCAGATCCCGCCAAACTGTCTGGCACAGCCGTGGTGAAGACACCAGGCGGCGCGAAGGCGAGCAGAGCAGGTGCACTGTTGCGCGAAAGCAGTGATGAGGAAACGACGAAGGCAGTGCTGTTAACGAGGTCGGCTGGTGTGATGGGAGAAGGTGCTGGACAAGCTGGTGACATCGAAGAGGAAATTCAAGAGGAAATCAATCCAACAGCCGACGCTAATCACGTGGAGCCGTACCTAGCCGCAGCTGCAGCAAGAGCTCCGAAACGAGCAGCGCCAGGGAATCTAACGGTGGTCACTACAGGTCTCCGTCAGTCAGGATCCGCACAACATCCTCATTCGACCCGAAAGCACAATGCCGGAAGCACTCCGATGGCGGCACCAGCTGTTGTAGGTAGTAAAGTACAACAAGAGCAGATGAGAACGTCTAGTAGTCCGCTTGAAAAGAGCCGTCGCAATTTTCCGCACGCTTTCGCGGCGAAAAGCAAGCAGACTCTGAAACGCCTGGATAAGATGATGAAGAAGAGTGATCGCATCTACGATGCCACAATGACGGAGGCTGTTGTGCGAGGCGACACCCTCGCAGATGACACTCCTACCGATGGTGTGCGCGGTCTTGGTGAAGGAGAAAACCGCCACCGTGATCCAAGTCGACGAGAAAGGTTGGGAGATCTTCTCTGTTACAATGGCGAGGAGGCTGGCGGCACAACGAGTGTATCGCTCGAGGAAAACAAGCGTTCCACATCAACAACAGCCTCTGCTGGCGTTGGCAACAGCGCTAGCTCTCTTAGTGCGTCGCTTACGGCTGGCCCCCAGATGATGAACAATCATGGTGGAACGCAAACCACCGAGGCAAGTGGCATGATGGCTACGCAACCTCCAAATCAGGTTACGGTCGAGGCACTACCTTCACACCGAAAAGATCCGGCAAAAAACTGGAGTCCCATCGACCGCATTCTCTTGATCAAGAAGACACAAGCTGCTGGGCGAAACAAGCTGCAAACACTGAGCGAATCGCAAGTGGAGTGGGATGCGAACACAATAGCAGCTCAGGCCGCTAGCAGCGCGGGGCCTCCTGCGTCATCTTACTACCACGATATCCGAACATCACCACACTTACATACGACTCCGGCGGCAGTAGCGGATCGCACGTGGCGGAGCTGTGCCGTCCAGACGACGGTCACATCTGAAATGCAGGAAAAGAAGCGGCAACAGCTAGAAGACCTGCTCGTGGAGGAATCACGAAAACTTTCAGAAGCAGAAGCGAATAGCGAAAGAGAGGTATATCGTCCAACCTTGAAGAAACTTGTAGTTTACATGACTAAGTGAAAAAAGATATCACACAATCAAGGAAACATGGCTCGGTGGAACGACTCCCCTACCAATCACAATTTTTCCCTTTTTAGAATACCATGTTGATCGCCACAAACATGGACCTCATCTTCTCACTTCTTGACGAATTATCTCACAGCGAGCATCCTTTGCTTCGTCGATGGCGGAGCAGCAAAGAACCTGGGAGGCACAAGAGGCTGAGTATGGCGAGCAGGCTGGCATCCAGCAACAAGCGATCGAGACCTTGCAGAAGCTCATGCAGAATCTGATGGTAGACAGTGCGCGAGCCCGCACGGAGATGGAGCAGCTACGAGAAGCTGAGCGGGAGAAACACGCAGCGGAAATGCGGGAGCGCATCCTGGAACACGAAGAAGTAGTAAAAAAATTGAGTGCTGACAAAGAGGAGCTTCTGCGTGCAAAGACGCAAGCCGAAGACGAACGGGACAGTATGATGGTGTCGCTCGAAACGGAGCAGGCCCTCTTACTGGCGCGTGTTGAGACATTGCAAATGGAGATGGAGGAGAAGAGGCGTCAAGAGCAACAGCGATGGCAGTACAATCCTGGCGCAAGTCCCAAGGGAGGGAAAATGATGCACCAGCGAGGCAATCATCGTGGATCTTCTGCAGGAGCTTCGATGCGCGTGACTGGCGAGATGCTTGGTGGATCTAGCGCTGCAGCATTCGGTGGCTCAACCTTCGGCAGTCAGGGCCCGCAACCCACCTTGGCCGAGTTGGAAAACGAGATTGATGCGGCAATCGCGATCGGTACTGCTGCTCTCTCCCAACAGCCGGAGAGCAGTCGCAATCGTGCGCGTGGCTTGAGCAACAGCCCGGTTGCAGTCTCACGTGGCGCAGCACTCATGCCAGGAACAGCACAGCAGCGCTGTGGGCGACATGCTGCTCAGCATAATTCAATAGAAGAGAACAGCAATTTAGAGCATGGCGGTTTATCTTCCAGTGCATCCGCATCGGGGGGAGCGGCAGCGACGCGCGGAAGCTCAACGGCTAGACCAAGCATATTTTCGAGTGAACCCAAGCGGGGAAATAATTATCGTGGGAGCCCGTCTAGACGAAAGTCTGGTGCAGGTTATTTGGCGCCGAATAGCACCCACCAAAATTCCACAACAGCAGCAGCGCCGACCCCGACAGTTTCCGGAGGACCCAACCAGTCTGTGGCCGGGCGTTCGTTTCCGGAACAGGATGAAAGGTCAGCTCCAGCGCCTGGTCCTGGTTCTACGAAAGATACAGGAGCAGGACCATGCTATGCGTCGTTGGGAGAGCCAGGTGCATTTACAGGATGGAAAAAAGCGAATGCTTCTCGTGCTCCCCCGGGCACCTTTAGTAAGCCGACGGTCGCGGATCAGATGCGCGAAGTGCCTGCATCAATAGCGAAAAGTTCGATTGCAGAGGCTGAATCGACCCAGACTTCCCTTCTATCATCCGCTGCGAGCCAGCTAACGTCCTCACCAGAGAAGAAGCTGCCCTCCATGATGAATGAGAACTTCAGTCCGTCAGAACAAATTCTCACGCGGGAGGGCACCGCACCCGCAGAAGAGGCCGCGACTGGCGTCGCTGATCTGGCCTCGGCTACACAGGTAGAGGGCACATCTTCCACTGAGAAGACAGCCGAGAACGAAAGTGCTGCAAATGCAGAACCTGCTTGCGCCGATGAACGAAGACAAGACAATGACGTCCGCGGTCAGGATGAAGGGGATCTCAACAAGAACGAGAATTCGGCTTTGGATTTCGTGGCGACCTCTCTCTGCAAAGTAGATGACTCTGACACTGGAGCATCTAATGTATTAGCAGGTCAACCGAATGATGAGAAGACAGGAGCAGGAGCAATTGTTGATGAACAATCAGGTCGTGAACAAGTAGAAAAAGAAGATGCTGCTGACAGAGGACCATGGCAGCAGCAGGACGAGTTGTCGAGATCTGCTGAGTTATCGGCATCGCATGCACACTCCTACGAGGAGGATGAGAATGAGGAGGCACCTCAATTTCCAGACCCTGAGGGTGCCCGGAGCACCTTTCGTGGTACTATGCGCTCCACGTTTCGCGGTACACGTGGGAGCGAAAAAAATCGATCTGACCATGGCAAAGAGAGTAGCGGCAAGCTGATATCGGCAGCACCAAAGGCATTCGGCCGTATTTCGCCAACTAGAGGATCTAGATCGCATCAAGGCCAGGGTTCGGGGGGAGCTGCGTCTACAGTTACTGGTGCTAGCACATCTCACGTGCCTGTCGGTGTTGACGCGTCCCCTTTAGCACCTCAGCGCGCTGTCAGTCCGGCCGCGAGTTCAGTTGCGGGACATTCGGTGGCTTCGTCGCGGAAACCCCGTTTAGACACAGGCGCTGGAAACCGGTGGGTTAACACAAAAAAGGCGCTCTATCAGAACAGTCCCGCTTGCAAGCGGACGCAGAATGTGGACACAGACAGCCTCAAGGAATTCGCTGGTCCGGAACTGAGTTCGTTGCACGAGAACAGTACGGTATTCGAAGACCACTTGCGGCCAGCAGTCGGCGGCGGAGGCAATCACCAGCTGCAGCGCGGCTGCGAGAATGGGAAGAATAAATTTCCACAGCTTCTGCGCTGATCTTAGGGCCGCTTCTTCGTGTTGCTCTAGACAGCAGCGACGAAACCAGAAGCCTACTTCTTCTAATTGTAACTACCTACGACACAAGAAGGGCTGGTGAGGAGTCCGTGACACTTTCCATTAATAACACGATACAACTGTACTTGCATAGCATCGCACATCATTCAGTCGTACCAAAAAGTGAGACACACGCCTGCTGTAGATACGATGCCCGCGGCCCGCGGCCCGCCCTTGAGCCTGAGCTACTTACTACATTCATGAGAGACTTCAACATATTCAATCATACTAGACTATGCATTGCTACGCTATATTTTGTTGGTCACGTCACAACTCTTCATGTTAGCTCATGTTGAAAAAAACTACCATGCAAAATAGTAGGGATTGCACAGGAGACATTCACATCAAAAAATCATTCAATATTTATTGAGTCTTACTAACTATTTTCCCTTTCTTGGAACTATTGTCAACTTACTGTTTCGTAGTACCGACTATCATTCACATTCTACTTTTTGAAGTATTCGCCGGAGTAAAAGGACGAGAAAGATCATAATTAAGCATAATTGTGATTTATATCGCAGTTGTGTTTGAGGAGAAATTCTTGATGTAGTGGAATGGTTTTTGTATACCACTTAGCCTGTTTCTGTACAGAAAAAAATTTGGTTATTCATCCCAACTCGAACATCGTAATTTCAACGCATACTTCAGGTTGCCACCGACGACCACTATGAATAATCCCTATAATTGACCGGGCAATTATAACCTTTTCCAGAGAATCTCGCAAAGGCAGTGCAATAATTATAGCAATCCGTAGCCTTCGCCCTTCGGCGACCAACTCTGTAGTTCTGCTCCACCGTAACCATCATGTTTATCCATAGTCTTCAAGACGCATTACATCTTTGCTCATCTTCATGATCGGTCCAAATAAGTCTCATTCTGCTACTCGCTTAAGCATTGGTCATTATTCGACGCCGAGTGCATCAGTAACTTGTGCAATTCATCTATCATGATTTGGTGATCATACAGAGAGATACTTCGTTCGGTCCAATACGCGCATTATTGAGTCCCACGCAATGAAGTTCAGGTTCTCGGTTGTCTGCGTAGGTTTCTCAATCGTTACTACCTATCACTAGACACCTTCCTCACTTCCCTCCTCACCACGCTCCGGCAGCTTCCGCGTCGTATCATACGTCAATCCCATTTTTCGTTAGATAGTACAGATGCATTCTTTTGTCTGAGGTTGCAGTACTAGAGCCATGCATGTTGTAATACAATGATTTCTCGCATAACTGGAGGATCATTGTTGTATAATAAAAATGCTGCCTGCTGCTTGAAGATACTTGGCAGGTAGAAATCGAAGTGCTTCTCTTTCTTGTTAGAAGTGTTTGCTGTTCATCCACTTAAAACGTTGCACGAATGACGAGATCATCGTCGTCTTCGTCGGCGACGTCGCAGCGCTCAGTACCGAGCAGCTCGCGCGGTCGCTCTCTGCACCGAGCGCGCGAAAGTCAAAAGCGTGCGAAGATGCTGGCCGCACAGCAAAAAACTCCAACTGACGAAGACTTTGCCCGTTTGCAGGCCAAAGTCGACAGTATCCTGTCGGAGTCGCAGGATTTAAAAGGACGAGCTTCGTCTCCGCAATCGCGTAGTCCTGACTTTTACCTCTCTCGTAGTGGCCGTGGAGGTGGAGCACGAAGCTCCTCTGCTGCAGGGCAAAGGCCGCGTCAGACTTTGCTAGCTGAATTCGAAGATGTGCACCGCTCCGGTCCGTCTAACGCGGCCTCGAGGGCGAACAGCGCTGCTGTGGATGTTGGACGCATCATTCTCCACGAAGCAGAGAGAATGCTGGGGTCTGCTGCCGACCTGACGCCAGCGAGCCAGTCGCCCGTTGCGTTCAGGGACCGGAAGGAGGATGCAGAGAAGGGTGCATCGCAATCCTCGAGTGCTCGTGTCAAAAGCAGGTCAAACTCCAAAGAAGGAAAAACCGCGCCAAGTTTCTCTTTGCAAGATCCAGCAAGCAGCACGATTTCGATTAAAAAACGTAAAGATGAAGAAAACGTGCCACAACTTCGCAGTCAACGAAGTCTGGAGGAGCAGGACTTTCTCGACATACAGAAGGACGAAGAACGACTAAGACAACGAAGAACGACAGTATCGGTAGGGGCATCAAATGAACGAAGCAACACGAAAGGGCTTGACGTCGCACTAAATGTGGCTCGCGCCGTAGAGGAGCAGTGCGGGGATGAGCTGCGTGTAATTTGTGAACAGATTGCAGATCTGGAGAAACGCAAGGACGACGCGGTTGGAACCGCCGAGGCGGCCTTCTCTCAACCCGATCCTTTACCGATGGTCACGCGTGCTGCCGCGTCGAACTTGCGTGCGAGTGTGGACCTCGCGCAGAGAGTCGCGCAGCTGAAGTCGGCAAAGGACATGCTTTTGTCAGAAACGATTACATCATCTGTTGCGCGGTACTACCAAAAGCGTATGAAAGACGAGAAGGAGAACATGAAAAACGACGGTCAAGGACTGCCTGTGGGTAAAACTGCAAGTGCAAAAGACGATGAACAAGACGACGATTCTAGTAGAGCAACGTCAACAGGGGGGCGCAAAAGCGACATCCATGAGCACAGGAAAAAGCTGTATAGCAGTCCAGAAGACAAAGAGCAGATCAGGAGGAGAATAAGTCAACAAAGCGAAATGACGCATGCACTTTCAAGAAAATCTCAAGAACTTCGCACGGCGTACACTGCCAGCTCCTCCAGCGAAGCAACGCAGAAACGCTTTAGTACTTCATCTGCGACATCACAAAACGGGAGAAGATTAGACAGGGCGATCTTTGGCACAGCGGAACATGAAGAGCAGAGAGGACAAGCAAAAGCAAAAAGCAGTCGCATACGATCTGCATCTTCATCCGACACTTCACAGGCCGAGATTGGCCAGAGTAGTTCCAGAACTAAGAGACGACGGTCAACGATAACCGAAGATACCAGTATCCCGGAAGAAGATGCGGAAGGACCTATGCGCACAGTGCGTCTAAAAGTACATCATAATCGTGAGGATAACACATGGGAGGTGCGTGGCACAAAGGATCTGGATGTGCAAGTGGTGCTAGAACAGGATTCCGAGTCCCCCTCTCCAGTGAAAAAGCGCCGACGAAGTCGCGAACAGGAAGCGACAACTCGTCGTTCCCAAGTCCAGGATGCGAGCCAAGTGACGAAGCCGCTTCCACTCAGATTGGTAGTACCAGAGGGAGAAACGCAAGATGTGCCTGCTATACGCGACGCGTCTGGCACCTCTTCAGCGTCCTCGTCGTCATCATCGTCGTCATCTTCGAGCGACTCGTCGGCATCCTCAAGTGGCTCATCAACATCGAGTGACTACGAAAGGCGTGCCAAGCAGAAGCACCATCGGAAGCACCATCACAAGGGTAGACAGCGTGCAGAAAATATGGTCATATCGAATTTCCAAGCGGATGCTGCTGGCGTCCCAGCTGGGGCTATTTCTCTTCTCGCACCTGGAGGCCACCAGCTTCGCCTCGATCCGCGCTACCTTCCGACGGTAACGCCGGGCGCTTCTGCAATCGACATAATTCAAGGAACGGGCGCTGCAGCTCCTCCAGGAACAGCAATCTTGGTGCCGGTGATGGGCGCACAACCTCCACCATCGACTGCGGGAGCGCTACCTGGCACCATACAAATAGGCCATAAAGTGACCCGCCAATCTTCTAAGAATTCGTCGTCATCCTCGCGGGAGTACAAGAGGAAGCGCGGATCAGAGTCCGCGAACCCTCCCCTCGAACGAATGCGGGCACGGAGCGCTTCTGTTGGTACGCCCAACGTCCAACTATTCTACGTTCCTGAGGGTGGGGCCGCGGCGTCGCCACCAGCAATTAGCCGTGTGCTAGGCCGGAGTTCTGCGACGACGACGATCCCCTTGCAGAGGGCCAACAAAAGTCTCAACAACAAGAGTGGCATCGTTCCGAAGGTCCGCCTCTGGTCCAAGGACCAAGCCGGTTCGCCTTCGCAGCTCGACGCTTCTTCTAAGAAACTCGGTCAGGTGCGCACATCTAATTCCCTGCCTCGAGCCTCGCTAGACACGGCGGAAGCCAGCTCCAAGCCAAAAGCTGCAGCATCAGCCGCGGATACAAAAAGTTTAGGAGGAGGAATTTTGAAGAAGAAAAATGTAGTTATGGACGCGCCGAACAATGAAGAAGATGTCAACAATACCCAAGAGGGAAAGACGAGTGCTCTTGAGCTCGCTCTTGAGGCTGAGGAGACACCGGAGAAGAATCCTCTCGAGATGGCCCTCGAGGAAGCTGACGCTGCGGAGCAAAAAGACGGTGTTAATGGCACTGTGCCAATCATTTCCTCGAACAAAAAGTCGGCCCGTGTGCGTAAAACGGCAAGAGTGGAAGTAGGAAGTGACCACGATGAAGACGAGGAAGAGGACTCAAATTCCAAATCTAGAGTGCAGTTCAATTCGGCTTTTGTCACCCGCGCCACCGTAATTCAGGAGAAACATTCGAAGCGTCGTACCTTCTTGAAGCGGTATGCCACGAGGGAAGCCCTCGCAGATGCCAAGCAGACTGCGGACTTCGGCGATGAGATCGACCACGACGACGAATTTGACACGGGAGAGGCAGCAGATCACGATGACCATCACCGTTCGTTCGGACACACAACAACTCACGGTTCCGGAATGGAGCTGGAGACCGACTCGCTCGGCCCCGCGCGCCGTACGCGCTTGCGGTCGCGTACGTCGAGAACAGTGAACAACACAAATGAAGAAGCAGATGCACAGCGGCCAATGGGCCCGCTACCAAGACAGTCACTAGTGTCCACACTACCTTCCATACCTGACAGCACCTCTACCAGCACCACTGTCGGATTTCAGCTTAATAACGAGAGTGAGGGGACTGCTGTCAGCCGGCAACATCAGAGAACTTCCGTCGACGCATCTGGTTCATCTTTCGCGGTGTCAGCACAGCAACGCATGGGCAGAATGTCTCAAGTGTCTGTTTCAACGAGCAGGGCCTCAACGTATTCGGAAAATGGCGGCATGATGATTGGACCGACGACGCGCCTGTCAACGGTTGGAGCACGCAATGTAAGGCTTAGCAGTGAGGGTGAAGCGGACGTACCTTTTGAAGAAGAGGGCCTGGATGATGGGGCCGAAACGTTCCTCGACCAATATGGTGCAAGAAGGACTGCTCTCGTTGCAAGAAATAGCGGAGATTCGGCCTTCTCTACTGTGTCTTCTAGAAGTCGGAATCAGCTAAATGCAGCCGCGGAAAGCACAGCCTTCGCTGTAACTCGAGAAGAAGAGGCACTGATGAACAGTCTGCCGGCTGAGTCGGTTGCCGGTAGCAAATGGCAGGCCGACATATGCGACGCAAGCGCTGCAGTGACTCGCGCTTTGCAGCTCGGGCGAGAGCGCAACTCGATAATATCCTCGGCATTCTACTCAGGAAACAGTCTTCAAGGAGTAACGCAAGGACAAGCAGGTAGAGCTACAAACATAAACCATATACGGACGTCTTCTTCTCAGGTTAGCGTGGTGGATTCTGAGGTGGTCTCTTCCCCCGAGCAGAGGAGACGGACGCACGCGGCCAATGTTGCGTTTGCTCGTGCAATCGGGATGGACGTAAACAAGTCAAACGAACTAAAAGCTGCAGAAGGCGAGGCAGATGACGCTCAGCCGATGATGGAAGACGGTGGAGACGATGACGAACAAGGAAATGTTGGCGGTGTCGCTGAAAATGCCAAAGTGACAAGTAGCAGTGCCTCGTCTTCAGCTGTAAATAAGAGAAAAGCCCCTGTCGATGGCAATCGTAGTAGAAGCGAACCTCCGAAAGGTAAAGCTGTTGAGACCACTGCTGATCGGGTAATAGTAATAGACTATCTGAAGCACCACTACGATACAAAGGGCGCAACCTCAGGAGCGAAAAAGGGACAAGCCGGACTATCGCAGAAAAGATTCTTTGGAAAAACAGACGCTCCTGTAGACGGCACGGCGAAGCGCGCCTACGATTATCCTGGAACCGGACCATCTAGTATCATCCCAAACTTGAGCAGTGGCAGTGGCACAGTCTCTGAAGTCGACGAAAAAGGGAAACACGCAGACAGTACCCAAGAACAACACGTGACGTCAACTGCAACAAATGGTGACGGCGTGCCAGGAGGAAACAAAATCGTCCTGACTCTTGGAACCTCTGACGCCAAACAGACAGCAACAGGCCAAACGCAGACGGTCCGCTTCTCGGGCGTCGGTGGTGGTGACGTACCTGCTCCTCGCTTCACGACGTCCCAAAATCGTTCGTCAGCCGCTCCACGTGCAACTCTGACAGCGCAGAGAGCGCCTAGTGAAATTCAGCAGCGGGTGGAATTTTCTCCAGGATTGCGCGAGCGACTGCAGTCGCTGCTTCGGCCGATCGTGCAAGGGCGCAGTGGGGAGATCAAGCCTGTGCTTGACACTGAGAACACGAAGCTGATTCAGAACTTCCTCAAGTTACTTCGCCAAGAGATGTCGCTCAAACTGTCCGATAATAAGATCAAGGGACTAGGTAAAGTGCTCGGATCTCGCGTATTGCGCGCCCTGGACCGGGAGCTGTCTGCCGAAGAAGAGCGGCAGCAATTGATGGTTGAGCAAGGTATTGATTCGATTTTGGAAGAACTCTCCACGGGCATACACATCCTGCTGCCGAAGCGGCACTCGTCTGTATCTCCGTCAAAACCTCCAGCTGGAGGGGAGCCCGTTGCTAGTGACGCAGCCGTGACTCCTCCAGACGAGACTGTGCGGCCGCGTGCGAGAAGCCTCGCTGACTTGTATTATCAGACTCAGATTAATGAAGACGTCGATACTACGGGAGTTCCGGCTGAAAAGGTCGGACTAAGAGGACGAAATACGCTGAAATCCAGCATGTACGCGTTTCTTCTGTCGGAGATCAACGCAGTAAGAGATGTAATCGACAACAGCGTTTCAAACGCAGAGCAGAGGCAGCGAGCGTTGAACCTTTTCTCGGAGCTCGAGAACCACGTACAACACGCAAGCAGCGCCGAAGTGTTCTCGACGTCCGGCGCAGCTGCGACCGCAGATGCTACAGCACAGAACAGCGACCACACACGGTTGACCATGAGGCCAACGATTGTAGAGTTCGAACGGCAGCGACTGGAGGCACTGGCCCAGGAGCGAGGTGGTGGACGAGAAAAAAACACACCAGTTGGCGAACAAGAGCCGCAACAACAGAAAGAAGCAGATCACTCCAAGGTACAGGACATCGAGGTCGAAAAATCCAAATTGACGATGGAGGTGTCCTTTTTGCGAACGGAGTTGGACCTCGCGATTGCCCGCCTTCGCGAGGTGGAGACGCAGCACGTGGAGCTTCGCGCACAGGAGGAGCGAAAGCGATTGAAAATGCAGGAAATGACAAAGAATGCGCGCCAGCTCGTTCACCGGCACACTGTTACGCTGAAGTTGCTTGACCGTGGCGTTTTCGGGGAACAGGCGGGCGGACTCGACCTGCGTCGGTGCTTCGAGCTCCGCGCGTTGAGTCCCTACGAGGTGTTCCGGGGTATCGCCCTCGCGATGGAGAGCGTGGTCATGGGTCTGCTTCTCAGTGCTGGCGCGCGCGTTGGATTGATGCGAACGATGTCGCAATACACGGATCCAGTGGCAGCGCGTTTGCATTTTCTGAACAAGATTCTGCACGACCAAAAACCGACGTTGGGTGCTACCTTAAAGATAAACCTGCTAAAAAAGTTACAGGGCCTCTTCCTTGGTAACCACGGGGACAAATTCTTCGGAGAGGAAAACAACTTCTTGAAATTTGAAAAGAACGGAGAAGGTGGTGACGACGTCATGGACACGGACTCGCGGATTTGTGAACTCCTGCAGCAGGAGCTCCTGGGGAATAGCTTTGAGATTTTGGCAGTCGAAGCGTTAGCGACGTCGCCCGCGCTGCAGCGTGCACATGCACGTATGCGGTCACTGTGCTATGAGGAACCATTCGCGACCGACGATTCTGGTGCCGGTGGCAAAGAGAGCGTGCGTAGGCGACACGAGACTCCAGCGCGGCTGCTTCTTTGGGGAGACGGAACAGTCCTCGAAATGACAAGTGCCTGGACCCACACTATTGAAAGCGGAAACGCGCCCGCTCCTCTGACCTCCGGCGCCGGAGAGTGGGACCAAGACTGGCTTTTCTCGGACGAGGACGAAAGCTATGCGTCCGAGGAAGAGGAGGAGGACAACGTAAGCACTAGTACATCGTCTTCTTCGAATTCTGAAGGCGCTGCTGCGACTGCGGCAGCAGAGAAGGCCGTTGTACTAAAACAAAGTAGAGTAGAGCATAGTCGTGGAGGAAGGCCTGCGGCGCAGAGAGAGGGGGAAATCGATTCTCCGCAAAATTCAGTGCTCTTCTATGGCTCCGATGGAAGTAGCAACGAAATCCAAGAAACGGCGTCATTTCTCGAAGGGGAAAGCAAGTCTGCCTCTGTTTCGCCAAGCGAGGATGGAACAGCAGGGAATTTTCCTACTTCTTCCGGGCTGATTACTACCAGCAGTGCTGAAGAAGAACAAGAAAACTACACTGGTGGTTATGATGTTGAAGGAAAAGCGATGGCGATTCAGCATGACCCACTTAACAGGGTAACGAAGTCGAAGACTTTCTATCCGCGCCTTAATAGAAATGAGAACTACGGCAGCATCCACGGAAAAGTAGTGCGCTTTAGCACTTTGACTCATAATGATCAACAAGATCAGCAGCTACAGCGAGATCGAGTAGATGGAGACGACGACTCTATGATGAAATCTGATAGCAGTATTTCGTACTCTTTCAGTTTTGGTGGCGTGGACGAGGAGATGGCAACACACTCGCTTGAACTAGATCACGTCCATGCAGCAATTAAGGGAGATGCAGCTGCGGAGGCTCGGATAAAATCCGCTACAGCTGGAATACGACGCGGGACACGGCCCTCCCCGGCGCGGCGCTACCCTTTCGTTCAGGGGAGCACAACCATGATAGAGGGTCGGCACAAAAACATGGATCCCCGAGCCCCTGGTAAACCTTCCTCGTCATCGTCGAGCTCGAGCAGCAAGGAACCACAAGAGGAGATCACTGAGTCGGAGCGTGCTGAGTTCCGCGAGCAGAGACGACGGCTATTGCAGATGTATAAGCAGCTGGAAAGACAGCAGCGGGCTGTTGCCGGGCACGCGCGGGAACAGCGTCTCGTGAGCGGCATATTAGCGCAGCCGTGGGCTGCGACGTGTGGAATCGCGGCACACCAAATGGCGATGCCCAGTCGACAGCCTGACCAGACAGAAAATGACCCTGAGGACGAAAACGGTGGTATCAACCCAGACACGAGGGATACAGTTTTTCAGTTGGTAGTACTGGAAGCCTGGGACTACGAAGCGGATCTCACAGCCAGTGGCAAACTGCCGTACTCGTGCCCACGGTTTGACGGCCGGGAAAGACTCGCGACCACGGATGTCATCACATCGCTCTTGCCATTCCAAGCGGTCCCTGTGGCTATTGTGACGTACCGCGAGCACCCTCTACGAGAGTATTACGACGCACACCAGCAGATGAGGTCCGTGGGTGATCGGGGAATCACTGGCTTGTACAATTTTGATACCTTTCCGCAGCCGGAAACTTCAGCGACATCTCGAGGTAGACCCGTTCCGCTTTTGGGCGGCTTTCATGCGCCATCGGTTCCTACTTTGCTGCACGGACACCGCGGTGGGTTCGGCGCTACTGCTGGTCGTGGGATGTTGTTCTATTCAGAAAGCCAGGATGATGAAGCGGCTGATGCATTCGTCGATCCCGATAGTGCTGTGGCGGTCCCTAGGCGACGGGGTGGCATCGAACCGCTTAACTTTACTCATGTGCAACCGCAGGGGAACGCTCTTGGAGGAGCACTGCACCGAAGGGCACACCCCGTCACGGGTGCCCTGGCTGATAATCAATTTCTTAGGTTGGGTAAAATCGGTGGTCTAGTTCCTCTTTCAGTCTTCAGTTCCTCCAGCACAAGCTTTCAGACTCTTTCAACGAAGCACCATTGTAGTGAAGTGAAGCATCTTCGACAAAGACCGAACCAGATGAAGGCAGCGTCGCGCTCAAGCGGTAAGTCTAGTAGGAAGCGCGCTCACTCAGCAAACCCCAACAGCAGTAAAAAAAGACGAATATCGCAAATCAACCAAGCGCGCCAGCATGGTCCGTTTCTTTTCTATGCGAATTCATCGGATTCCGCGCAACAGGCTGACTTACAAGAAGGAGCGAACGGGCGTGAAGACGTACAACCAGGAATCATCCGTCGGCCCTCTGCTGCTATCGGTGACACGAAACAAACAACCACCGGTGGGCCGCTGTGCGAAAAGAGGTCGCCAATCGACCTACTTCACGCTCCCTCGAGATACTTTGGAGAAAAGAGCCGTGCAATCCGCGAGGAGCTAGCCGAGACAGCACGTAAGCGGGCAGAGAGTGCGCCGCCACCTAGGGCCGACGAAGAAGAGGAAAGATTTCCCGGGGATCGAAAGTATTTTGTCTAGTTCTAGCAGCTAACTCACAAAGATTAAGAGGCTCATTTTCATATTTCTTGAATTACCTACGGCTACGTACACACACGAAGCCTTACCCTACTTTCACAACATTTTAACTGTTCGATGACTAGTTGTGTTGTTCCTTGTCAACGAGATCGTGATATCTTTGTTGCCATCTTCATGATAATGATTTTATTTTTCAATCAATTCCAGAAATGCAGGCAGCCTGTCACCAGATCGTTTGAAACCAAAGACACCCGGCATGAAAAAGCTGGAGGACGCAGCCCTTTTGCGCGGAATCCTAGGGCCGGGCGAGCGTAGCGCAGAGATGCTCGCAGGTAGTTCATCTTCATCTCATGCTATCAACTAGATGTAGATACAACGACAAGAACGACATGTGACTATCAACATGCAATTTGAAATTATTACAACGAAGATGAACATGAAGGTCATCTTCGTCATCCAAGCGCACTAGGGGTTCATCTTTATTGTCGTGGTCATTTTTGACTGCCACACTTGGACCATAGTGTTTGTCAGTGGCATTGAAGGTCTTCATCTATCTGACAGAACTGAGGTGTAATCATCAAAAAGTATGCATTCACATTTTTCGTGTCTATCAGGTTCTGCGGATCCCCAGGCAATCGCGTCTGTTCAGAAGGTGTTAGCGGAGCTGCTGGAAGCCGACGGCGGTTCCGCGACCCTGTTTGCACTACTATGCGACACGAACTTTGGAGAATACATAGGCAGTCGCAAATGGGAGCAGCTGCGTGACACAGTGACGGACACAATGCGAGTCCTGTTTGAAGAAAAGGGGCTTGCAGCGCTGCAGCGTTGTCTTGCGTCCGTCATTATCGCACGCAGCGAAGAGGAGGCGCGCGAACTGGAGATATTGAGTGACTCTTTTCTTGAATATCGAGAAAGTTTCGACGGAAGAGTCCCTCGAAGTACAACTAGAACTACTAGAAGTATAACTAGTAGAAGTAGTGAACCGGCGAGCCGAAGTGCATATTTGAAAAAAAGAGCAAAAGCAAGTGACTCAGCCTTTGCAGCACGAGCTGACCAAGGACCTGCCATAACGAAGAAAGAGGCGATGAAGAGCAAGACAAGTCAAAAGAGCAAAAAAGCTTCGGCTCGTACAACGCCAGCACCTGCATTGTCCACACAAAATACAGCGGCTGGAGATGCCAGTGGTGCTTCGAAGAATCCTTCAATACAGAAACCTGACGGCCTGCGCCTTGTTACTTTGAATCCCAAGCACAATGTTGTTGCTCAGGCAGGAGGTATGCCGACATCGACAAATACAACTCCTGTCCCACCATCACCCTCAGCAACACCGCAGATGGATATATCAGCCGAGCAGGAGTCGAATAATTATGTACGAATTTGCGCCTTGGGTCCGCTTAACGATGATGCACGCAATAACGATGGTGAGCATCGCGAAGAGGCCATGTCCGTTGCGTCGTTCCCGCCTTCCGTAGTGCCCTCCGCTCAAAGTCGCGAAGCATCAGTCCCACCAATCCCGGAGACTGATTTTCAGGAGAAAATAATCTCAACAAAGAGCAGTGAAGTTTCTCGAGGAGGAGGTTATCTTCTCGGTGAAAAAAGTCCGCCTCAGCCCAAGAGGCCTGCAGCTAACAGTAGGAGCGATCCGACTTCGACGACTACGGGGATGAACGTCCCACTGCCGCTCCCATCGTCCTCAGCGCAAGGGATGGGAAATAATCTGCTCAAGGACGAGGTTGTAGGTCCGCCCGATCCCCCAGATCCAACTACAGATCCAGCATACGTGGACCTGCTTGCCGAAGAGGAGCTGCAGACCAGTGGTTTGTCAGAGAGGGAGATGCGTCTTCGCAGTCCTGACGTTGGGGACGACAAGGGCGTTGATCCGACAAATATTGTGGTGAAGTTGAAGCCGAAGCCTTCACCGACGGCGCGCCCGTCCATCGCTAACGCCTTTTTAGCATCCCCAGAAGAGAGAGAGAACCTGGTTTACTACAGGCATGATAAGCTCGATCAGCACCCACAACAACAGCAGGGTTCTTCACAGAAGAACACGATTTTTCTTGCACCCTCAAGTTCCCCTACTTCGGGTGCCGCTGGGGACACTAACCAGTCCTCATGGGTACGACCACCCGCTGTGGCTACGGCGAGAGTTGCTGCACTAGCAAAAAACCTAGATCTCTCTGTGGAAGAGAGTGTGAAAAATAGCGGTCTCCGATCTGGTGCCTCTTCCTCGCACCCTCCTCCTTCTGGTGCATCAGGAGGCACAACTGGTAAGCTACCTCAGGATTTGGACGATTCTGTCGTTTCCTCGTTACGTGGTCGAAGCCGGGAGGAGAAGTACTTGCCCCACACCTCTTCTGTAGAGCAGCAACATCCCGCGTCGAGGGCTGGATCTACTCGCCATGAATATCCTGACTTGTCCGCCCGAGAATACGGGAGTGGGACATCAGCCAGGTCGTCCGGACCCGGCGCCCCGCCATCATCGGACTGGCAAATCCAGATCGGGGAATATTATGTTGATGAAGTAGCTGAACCTGATGAAGCGGATGAAAAAAAGGCTACCTGCTCAGCGACGAACAGCAGTAGGCAGAATGGAGTAACTGGAGCGGACGGCCGTCTCGTAGTTGCTGGGGGAAGTAAGGAAAACTTGCAACAAAATGCAGCTGCCGGCGGAACGAATCTCGTGCGCCGCGGCGAAGGAAGTGTGAGTGCCGGAGCAGGAGAAATAGCGCGTCGCTTTGGCAGCGCAACCCTGTACCTGAACACCAGCGGTGGAGACACTATCTCAAGTGGGGACGAGGACTCGGCGTCATTTTTAGCGAGTCCGCCACCCCAGCGTAACATGAAGATGAGGAGCACATCAAGTTCCAGGAGTCACTTTCCGACGTGGCATTCAAACGAAATAAAGAGTCCGCGAGGAGACGCACCAGCACAAGGCAAGCTGCCGGCACCGCGAGCGGCGCGCAGTTCCCCTTTCCGCCTAGGCGACGACTCGGCAGACGAAGCACTCTCAACCTCAATCCTGTCAAGGAACAGGAGCCGCGATCATCCACGTTCAGGGGAGCAAGACGACGCCGATATTGAACAAACTGCATCAGTTCGTGCAGATCAACATGTTTTACAACTGGCATCTTCACCAAGTAGTAAAAGTAGGACGTCAAGCAAGCTGGCCAGCATCGACAAAAGCCGGGCAGACCAGCGTATGCCAGGGGTGCAGGAGGGCAGAGGAACAGCTACATCAACGTCACATTGGAATTACAGAAAAAATCAGGACGAGCTTGAGCTTTTCGGAGACGAAAGCGAATACTACAATCTTCACCTGGCAAACTACAACGTAGTAAAAACATCATCTTCAGCAGAGCGATCTTATAGCACTAGACGAGGACCGTCGGTCCTTGTCGGTCCTGGACCGAGTACTTCGTACGCCCCTCCGTCGAGGCAAACTCAAAGTACAAGGCAAGTTGGAGAAAGCATATCTGCAACGATAAAAAGTAGCGTCGATGCCGGAGGTCGCACAGAATCAAGGCAGGCGATCACCGCTGCGAGATCGTCTGCTGCAGCAAGCTCGGTGGCCTCTACTAACACGCGCGCTTTTTCGTTATCCTCTACTTCTGGGGGTGCAAACCGTCCATCGCTCGCGAATCGACCCAGCACGGGTGCTGCAACCGATGCTGCCGCTACCCAAAGTGGCGCTTCTGCGACAAGTGCAGTTGTCCCCGAGCAAAAACTCTATACTCGCGAAGCTACGAAGACTAGTACGACTACAAGGTCCGAATACGCTGGTCATGGTGTTGAGAATCAACCGCCTGTAGGTGGAATGACTACGTCAACGAGCAGCAGGACGTCGATAACTGTTCTCGCAACATCAAACATCCAGAGTAAAGCTGATGCTCCTGGTGATTCTGCTGGTGGAGGACAAATGTATTCAGAATCGTCTCTGAAAACAGCAAGCAAAACAACTAAAAAAAGCAAGAAGAAAGGAGTAGCCCCAGATGAAACATATCGAGGTAGAAACGAAGACGACGATGCTCGGAGTCAACGACAAGCAACTACATCATCAAGTAGCAGACGTAAATCGACAATGGAGGAAATCCCATTTCTCGTTGACCACCGTGACGATCTCCAGTCCTCTTCGCTCAGCGGGTCTTCAAGCAAGACATCGACAATTTCGACTGATGTCGTTCGCAATCGACACTTCGATGCACTGCAAAGGCACATGCTTAATGGCAGCGGCTCTTCGGTAGCACTTCAAACTTCCACTGCAGGTAGCATTAGCAAGGATAGCCATTTGAATTTGATGTCGACGTCATCAAAAGCTTCTAGTGGAGATGTTTGCCTGGTGCCGTCCTTTTCATCTGCTTCTAGCACAGTTCCTGAGACAACGACGAGCAAGACCAAGAAGAAACGTGTCGGTGCCGGTCGTGCATCGAAGAAGAAGCCGGGTCCTGCGGCAAAGCAGGCGAAGATAGAAAACAAGGTCACGGCAGATGGGCAACATCGCCATTCTGAGCCGTCGTCATCGAAGGAGATAATGACCTCGGCTAGGAAGACTGACATGATACAACCTGCTCCTGGAACGAAAACGGAAGAAGACAAGCGGCGTGCATCTTTTGCAATGGCATTACTGTCAGACGTGAAGAAAACTGGCAAAGGAGCTTCTGCTACAACGCTCTAGGCTGTGGTCACACTCGTCTTGTCTATATTCCTCTTCTGGCGTAGGAGAAAACGGAAGTCCTTCAATCAACACTGCAGTATCGAACGAAGCGCTTCGAGGCACCGTTTTGTTCGATGATTAGGACTTGTTGTACTCAGCTAACGACTGGTGCGTGCCTATCAATTTATCATTCATCTTGATAAAACGCTAGATGAAGTAGATGAAGCAAAAATAGAAATTCAGAGTGTACAAAATCCAGCATGCAAGAACTCATTCAATATCCTTCATATTAACCTGCATCTTTAATTACCATCAGCAAACGATTATTGAGTTCATCAACTTTCCAAGCATTTGACGATTATAGCAAGACAAGAATTTTGCGAGTGATTGTGTTGTGTTGTGTTTCTTGACAGAGATCATATTGTGCGAATGGAGCCGTAATCGTGGAGTCAATGAGCTAATTTTTTGGTGTCTCTCCGATGCTCGTGTGGGTCTATTTCATAATAAATATAGATACTTTTGCAAATGCAACACTGACCTATTATTCCTCTTCCTGTATAATCAGTATCTTCTTGCAAGTTGTAAGAAGTATAAATATGAAGATGAAAGTGGAATAGTGCAGCTAGTACTTGAGATAATTCATTAACATTACCCGTACAAAAATTTGGTAGCAGCTGGATTTCCTCCGGCCGAGCCGCTTGCTTATTCTTATCGAAGCTTCATATTAGTACAATCACATTTGCTACATGAAGAGACGATGATAATCACGAGCCCGAATGAGCCTGAGTAGTACTCTTAGTGCAGTACTACAAGGTTACCTTCTTATTCAAGAACTTACGAGAAGCATTTAAGCTTCTTTGCATTTGCGATTAGTTGTATTCGTTCCCGTATTCCCAACCTAAAGTTAAGAGTTCGTGCGTTTCGACAAACAGAAACATTATACCCTAACCTTAGTACTACTTCTATACAAATTCTTTCACACCCTGCATTCATCGTTTAGCCCTGGTCTTGATGTTGTCAGGTTTTCCAAGAAATTTCAGTTACAAATACAAAACGGCGTTGCCTACGTCTGTTGTACATCTCTATCTATCGAAAGCCAACTGGCATTGAGAGGACCTCACCTATTTATGCTGCAAAAAAATTGAACTAAGATCAAACATCGACCTTCTGCATTTGCAATTTGTAGTACGATAAAGTTGTAGTAGTTGAATCATGGTGCTCCTGCGGTTGAACAATGAACTTGCCAAACAAAGATCACTCAATCAACTTGTAGTTCGCCTGTAGGACTGAGAGTCTGAGGAAAAGTCATCGGCTTGAGTAGCACCTAAACCAGTCATCTGACTAGAACCAAATTTCGGTCTCCGAACATTTGTGAGCGTCGAGAAGGAGCAAGCTCAAAAATGGAAGCGCCTGTTGTGTAGGTATATGTACTTGAAAGGTAGAAGGCAAAGGCGTGACCATAAAAATGGTAGACCAAATCACTCGGTGGAATGTGAATTACTACGAAGCGCAACGGCGCAATCTGTCGAACAAGAGAGAGCGAGCGCTGAAAAACGAGAGCTAACCCAGCACGATATCCCACACAAAGTGAAAGTAAGTATTCATTGATTTCTAAATGTCTTCGCTAGAAGTGAAAGTAAAATGAGAGCGAATGCGAAAATACGTGTGCGGCATACAAGCCGAACCCACGGCTGTAACTGTATTTGTTACGATGAAAGTTCCGTAGTTCCTACGGAGCCGGATGCTTTTGCTTGTTTGCTGAATCTACTTAGTTGAAAAAAGCGCATGGATGTATTGATATTGGTTTGACTGATGTGAAAGTACCCGAGGAACACACTCGCTGGGTGTATTAAGAAGATGAATCGCTTCTGAATTGAGCTTCCCATACGTTAACGACTTGGGCTTACCGTAGCCCCACTTGCCGTGATTCACCGTTCAAAGCGTATTCCGTCTGACTTCGTCGCAGACAGACTTGATCTGGAGTCATTGCCAAGCTGCTTCAGGAGCTTCTCGAAAGTTTACTTACACTCCGTCCTCTTGGAACTATCACGCGCTTGCTCCTTGTCACGAAGTAGGCTGGCTCCCTGCTCAGAAAGCGAGGGCGTTTGCACCCACTTTCTTCTGCAAAACCCCGGTTGTATCTACTACGTATCGATTTTGCCGTTCGCGCGCCCCGTGAACGAATTCGAAAGCCCAGAAAGGACAACAAGGGTCTGAACGTCGACCAGTCACTAAAAGGTAAAAATGGCATTACCAAGCAGTTTCAGTCAGCAGCGGCCTACTGTCGGGCGCTTACAGGAGGCATGTAGGGACATGGAGAGACAAATCGACAGCCTAATCCAAAGCAACCAACAGCATGCAAGCAAGGTGAGTGAAAAGCTTTAGCCAGGAAATGAATTTGAATTAAAGAGGATAAAATCAAAATTTTAATGTTTTCCCTTTAAGAAGCAATTTTCAAATTCATGTGTGAAAATGCGTCACCAGAAAATGAATTTGAATTAACTATAATAAAATCAAAATTTTGTTGATTTACCTTTGAATTTTTTGTTTCACGAGTGAAAAGGCTTTCCTAGGAAATGAGTTTGAATTAAGTTTGATGAAATCCAACTTTTAGAGTTTGAGTTAAAAGTTTCAAAGTCAGAAGCTCATGTAATTCAGATTGCGTTTTTTAGAGTTGTTATTTATTTTCTGTCATTTGCGCAGGTAAGTGCGTTTAGAGCACGAGCAGTTCGAGCTGAGAAAGAGCTAATAGCTCTCCAAACTCTTAATGCAGAACTTTTGAGTCGAGCCATGGAAGACCCAGCACCTCGTTCCAGATCGAGCTCCAGACCAGTGGTATTTTTTTTTGCTGAGAGCGAGCGTAAGCCATTATGTTCGTTGAATTTATTTAGGTTTCGTAGAATTTCGTTATAGTCCATTCTGGAAACTCAACAAATGAATAAAAAAGCTCATACCCTAATTCTTCCATTTTTCAAGAAATGCTTTTAGAGGTTAGATCCAACATCGAGCATCCTGCATTTGACTAAAAAAGCTCATGCTCTAATTCTTTCATTTTTAAAAAATTTTTAGAGCTCATATTCTACTTCTAGAGTCTTGCATTTAGGCTCATGCTCTAATTCTTCCATTTCCAAAAAAAATTTTAGAGCTCATATTATACTTCTAGAACCTTGCATTTAACTAAAAATGCTCATAGTCCAACTTTTTCATTTTCAAGAAAAATTTTAGAGATTATATTACACTTCTTGCATTTAACTAAAAATGCTCATAGTCCAATTTTTTCATTTTCAAGAAAATTTTTTAGAGATTATATTCTACTTTTAACATTCTTTCTTCAGTCTCGTTCACGGATTCAATCTCGCGGCGGCAAAGGACCGTTAACTGCAACATCATCGCTGCGTGTGCATCTAAGGGAACTCCAGGTTTTTTCATTTTCTTGCGTTTCGAATGAATTTTAGAATCCTTGAATGGATATCCACGCCAATGTGTCCTTTGTGAAATTATCGAGTTTTCGTTTTTGCTCCAACGAATTAGAATTACAACATGAGCAAAAGCAAATCCAAAAAAAAATACAACAGGAAAAAGCACGGGAAAAGGGGATTCTTTCTGCGTCAATACAGGCAGCGATTGATGGTGCAACAGTATCTGCGTCCTCGACATCACCACCGCCGACTAGGGGGAAACCGAAAGGAGGAGCATCAGAAATCAACTCGAAACAAGTACAGCGAGGTGGCTCTCACGCGGGAGCGATGTCCTTATCTGCATCTGGTGTGAGTCTGGGCGAGGACATTACAGGAGCGTTGCAACGCCAGCAAGCGTTTACCGGAGGAAAGTCGCAATTTCGAGAATTAGAAGACGAACATTGGGACATGTATCTATGTTTTCAGGTTGAGCTTGAAGACCATCAAAGTTGAAATAAATCAGTCAGGAAAATATCCTTCACGAAAAATGTGCAGGCAGTTCCATTTTAACGGTTTGCTCGCTTACAATTCTGCATTCGAAATTACATAGGCTTAGACCTATTGGGCACTGTTCACTCATTGGTGATCCACAGGCACTCACGGGACCGCATGGGCGCTGAAGATGCTATTGGGCTATGTGTGCGAGAGAAGGAGCAAAGCGATAAGCGCCTCGCTGACACGGAGCAGCGATTAGTAGCTACGCAGGACCAGCTTGCCAAAAGCGACGCCAATCTTGCGGACGCTCTTCGGAAGATCGCAGACCTAAGAGGTGAACTCGAATTCGTAAAGGAGGCGAACGAAAGGCTGCTAGCGGCTGGGGCTCTATCAAACGGAGCCGCGGGCGCAGGTTCAATGCCAGCAGAATCTGCAGCTGCGCACGGTGACGCGGGTGAGGCCAAAGCAGCGAGCTCACGGGAGCGGAGCAAGGAGATGGTCGAGGGAGGTGAAAACGACGTTGGAGATGCTGGCTCGTCCACGAGACTGGAATTCGTGCAGGCGGCGGGCGCTGCAGGGGAAGATGATGAAGCAGGAGGTGGTGCTAATAGCCAAGAAGCGTCAGCAGCTAGCGGTGCACCGCATAATTCAGAAGCTGTGCCAGAAACACAAGTGGCAAACGAGGAGAGCGCGGTCGTGGCCGCACCACCGGAGCCAGTCTCACGAGCTGTAGCTGAGGGTGGAGCAGAAGCAACGACTGCCGAGCGTGCGACGGCAGAAGCAGAGGACCCGAAAGCGGCACCTGATGGTGTTCCAGTTCCCGAAGATCCAAGTCCGCCAGCAGGAGAGCAGATGGAAACAGACGGGCAGAATCCACCAGCTGGAGCTGAGATTACAGAGGGTAATCACGAACAGAGTGCTGCTTCTTCCTCCGCATCCCAGCCGCAGGCAGATATGGAGGATCCAGGACAAGGAGTTGAAATTGAAAAAGAACTCTCATCTTCAACACCACAAGAGGAGAATAGGGAAATATCTACGGTAACAGATAATCCTCCAGCCAGTGGAACTGCAGTAGAAGACAACGGAACTGATGGCGGCGCATACGCAGGTATAGATACAGTAGCGACAGAGCAAAGCGCGACTGCCGACGTCGACGATAGTCCAAATGCTGCTGTCATTGGCGAAGAAATTCTACCGGGTTCTGGAGTAGAAGGCACCGAAAAGACTACCGAGAGTGCATACCTAGCTGCTGAAGCGGCTCTTTTCAAGAATAGAGATCATTATATTAACTAACTACAACATCATGACCATGTGATTGTTGCCCACGCCATCGCTAATGAATGTGCATGAAACTACTGCCCACGCTAATGTTGGAAGCAGAATTCCACGCACTCACAACTTATCCTGAACTTTGTTGATGTCACAGTCTCTCAGACTTATTCGTATTGTACAGTATGCTAGAAGACGATGGTGCTCTATAATTTGCTCCGGACTGTCCTAGTCCTTGAGGAGCAGCATATTTCTTCGTGTTTCTTTAATGCATCTTGAGAATATAGCGTCTAATATTTCTACCATTCATTACATCATCTGGATCTGATATGAGTCTGTGTCAGCATCAGGGCTCCATTAGGGATATGTCATAATTCCAAGCCACTCCATCTGCACAGATGACAAAAATGCACAGGCAGGTTAAGCTTTAAACACTCCCTTCTTCTTTTGTGGCTGTTGCAATCGCGATTGCGATTGCCAGACATGATATTTACATGCACACACAACGCCTTTCCCATTTCATTTTCGTCCAATTTCTTTGCAATGATTACGATGACACATCAGTGAACACTAGTATACCAATTTACCAGAGACAAGTGCGCCATGTATTGCGCATGATATCACAACATCATTATTCTGTTATTTCCGACCCGATTCATATTTAGTAGCTGGACTGGCGGTAACGTTGATTATTCCACTGCAACCCAATCTATCTCTTACGTTCAAGAAGCAAAAATTACTCACGCTCCCTTATAGGTGAGTACTCGGCACACGTACGAATTCGATATCTTAATACGGGACACATACTGGCTTCACGAGCGGGATACCTTAATAATCTGCAGTACAAAAGTCTTCCGTTTTTACGAAGCCATAGGAAGCTGAAAGAGTAAGAGGGTAGAGGTAGACAAACAGCTTATAGTGTAAGACAAAGAAAAAGGAAAAGGAAGGATAGTGATACTTCCGAATTGGCACCTCTACTCGGCTTAGTACAAGAACAAGTGTAAATGTAATCTGCTTCTGCTCCACGCATTTTTATAGTCAGAAAATAATGACCTCATGCCTCAGTCTCCTAGCTTCCTACGCGACAGCTACAGCAGAAAGACTAGTGACTTGGTTCTAATGATATATTTTTTTGTTTGAAGAGATAGAAAGACCTTGGTCTTCTTCGGTTCAAAACATCATAGTCGGAGGTAACGTCTCTATACTTCTTCGTCATCTACTGGCTACTTCCAGTACATTTCGTGGTGTGTGAATGAGGATGAGGAACAACAGAAGCACTGTCAGATTTCGAGAATGAGCCCTGAATCGTGCTGCTGAGACGTCGGCTACGACTGAGGTTGTCATGCCGCGACTTTGTCGCGTTTTCGGTCGCGGCTCACGAGTGCGCCTGATCGCATTTCAAGTAGGCTTGCCTCTGTCTGCGTCAGCGATCTACCTAGCCGAGCGCAAGGTTTCTCTTGAACTCGAGCAAGGTATTCCAATTTGCCAATTGCCATCTCGTCTGATGAAACAGAGGACAGTTTCAGCTATTTAGATTTACTTTTTCCCCATCTCCTCAAGTTTGATGTTCTTTATTCAGGTGAAAGCTCCGAAGCTGATCCTTGCTATGTCTCGAATTGGGCAGAGTGGGGCGATTGCAGTGTTTCTTGTGGAAGTGGCGTCCACTCCAGATCCCGCACTATCGTCGGGACAACTCAGGACGGATGTCCTGCACTCACGGAGACAGCGGTCTGTGACCTAGCGCTTTGCGGTATTGTTAACTGGATGTCAACGTTCGTATTTGTTACAACTAAGTGCATCTCTGTTATCGCTGCTTTTTCGCTAAGGAGTCGTTCTTGACATTTCTATGCACATTATCGTTCTACTCTCCCTAGATAAGGGTCTTCAAGAAGAATTTGTGTCCGCTGCAAAAAATGAGATCTACTTCTTCATTCATATTTAGCCAGTGGTTGATCTAGTCCATCATATTTTTTATTTTTTCTGTTTTCGCTTCTTTTCCAAAACACCACTTAGGAACAGCTGAGAGCTGAAAGCTTCTCAACCTCCTCAGCAAGTTCGTTAAATCAATGCCTTACACTCTTTGGCTTTAAAGTTATTTTTGCTATTGACTGTCTCTTCACGTTCACTCCTCTTCTAGACACCTGAAATATTACCTTTATTGTTCCAGTTGTGAACTGCAAAGTGACACCCTGGGGCCCGTGGAGCCTCTGCGATTCAGAATGCGAAAAGGAAAGGAAGCGGACAATCGAAGTGACTCCAGGACCAGGTGGATCGCAATGTCCCGAGCTAAGCGAAAAAGAAAAATGCGAACAAAAGGATTGCAGTATCAAAAAATATCGATATCTACGTGATCTTGCTGGTTCTTTATTGTGCACTCCCATCATCTTCTTTTCTGAATATCTGATTTCTCATTCTCTCAAGTTCAAGTTCTAGTTCATGGTTGGCATTAATTCATCTTTCTCTGGTACTAGGTAAGTGTGGTTTATGTTGCGGTTGAGTTACCTACATTATGTTTTCCTCTATATTAGTACCGTCCTCGTCTTTGTTCTCCAGCTAGCAATTGCCAAGTATCGCACTGGAGCTCGTGGGGCTTGTGCAGTACAACCTGTGGCACCAGTGTGCGAACGCGTGTTCGCGACGTGCTAGCCCAGCCTGGCGGGTCGGGTGCAGCGTGCCCTGATCTAGTGGAGTCGGAGGATTGCTCAGTTCCGAGCTGTAATCCCTCTGGGTCGGTGGCTGCGGCGACGCTGCGCGCGGCAGTGGACGAGGAGATTGAACCCGGTGTCATTTTTGCGCTCTCTTTAGCAATCGCAGCGGTCTTCATCGGCATCATCTTGTACTTGTGCCCCACAAACCCCCTGAAGAAAGAACCGGTACCAGCGACCAATGCGGTAATGCAGCGTCCGCGACCCGACCCGCCGCAGGAGGATCCGCCACAGCCGAGGCGCGATCACAGGACGGTGAGGGACTCTGCTGGCAGTGGGCGCGGCTTTTTCGATAGCTACCAGGCTAAAGTCAACCGTGATCACAACAACCAGGGCCAGCGCGTGCCTCCTCCAGCGGGCTCGCGCGTGGTGGATACTCCAGGTAGCGGCAGAGGGTGGGAAGACAGTTTCCACCACGAACGCCGAGAGCGTATATCCAAAGCGCAAGAGGACCAAATGATAAAGAGGGTCAGCGACAAACAAAGAAGTAGCGGCCAGAGCCAAACACAGGCAGGTGGTGGTGTGTTCACGTCCTCCCGAGCGAGAGGCGGAGAGGGTGAAGCAGCGGAAGACCCGACCGCGCCACTCCTAGAGGAAGGCGGGGAGGACATCGACGTGCCGACAGAGGAAACTAAGAGTGCGAGCAAACAGCGATCCTCAACGGTATCGATGGCAGCAAATACTACTAGTGCTAGGGCTAGCAAAATTGATGATCGGCCTCGGCGTTCATCGCGGTCCTCGACGTCACATCACGGTGATGGTAGCGGCCATTCACCTGAACGCCCTTCGTCGTCGTCGAATCGACTGAGCGGCCATTTCCGCTCGAGCCGCAAGAGTGCGTCTCGTGGACCACCGCCCGGCGTCCCTCCAAGTAGTCAAGCTCAAGACGTTGAGGCGGCGCTTACCCTCCTTGGAGACATTTTACGCCGCAGTACTCCAACGACATCTGCGCAACAGCAAGACCGACGACGATCGTCTAGATCGCCTACGAGCGGCGACCAGCGAGCATCCACTACTCGCAGCAGCCAGCGGAAATCGTCTTCTGCAGAATCTCCCTCGACGTCACGAAAAAGCAGATCTTCCAGAACAGGCGACGAACCACGCGTCTCTTCATCTAGAACAAGAGGTAGTGCTTTTGTCGAGGCAGAACAAGTCGATGATCAACAATATGGAGAGCGTAGTAGAGACGAGGAATCCCAGTCCGGAAGTAGTTCTGGATATTCTTCATCTTTGCGTCAGTCTGGACGCGGTGACGTGGTTGAGCGGAAGAGTGCACATGCTAAAAACGACGCACTGGAAAGCGAGCATAGTGGATTTGAAGACTTGCAGCGCAAGAGGGCTAGCACCAAACGCTCTTCCGACCACCGGGAAGGCAACCATAATGCAGAACTAGGCCAGGAAAGCCCACGTCACGACGCGGGACATCACCAGAAGAGCCATCATGAGGGAGATGAACATCGCCGGGAGAGCCATTCTAGTTCTGGCGGTCCGATTCTCTACTATGGGGAGACCGCAGATGATGGTGCGGGCGGTACCCCAGACCTCGAAACGACCGTTGAGCAACTTGTCGTTGGTCCGGACGAGGAGACGAGCTTTCAAAGCGACGATCCGGAACACTATGACGACGTCGAGGATGAATGCGAGAAAGAGGGTCATGATGATCACGAGGATGGACGAGGACGCGGAGGGCCGTCAACAGAGACAAATGTAGTAGAAGGTGAAGCAGACTCAACGAGTTCGTGGAGCCCTCAGCCGAATCGTGGCATCCTAATGGGTTCCGGCTCACGGAGGGGCGACAAACGAGTCTCATTCGCGCACCCAGAGCGCGAAGAACGCGTTCTCCGGATCCCCATCGAAGGTGACGAGAGAAGCACTGAGGAGCGGTCGGCCGATGAGCAGTCCTCCACGAGAGTCGCTTCATTCCTTAGCGGGTTTCTTGCTTAAGAATACGCATTCATCAACACGAGTAAGATGGAAATGGACAAGCCGTAGTTCTAGTTGAAAATGACGAGAGAATGAAGATGCTAGTTGTAAGACTAGAAATAGCATGGTCATCTTGAAGTTCGTCATTGTACAATGTACCGGTGTTGTTGTTTTTTTCTTTTTCGAGAACAAAGGAAGCTGATCATTATTTAAGTAACAGAAATTGTCCACATGAATGTCTAATTCGGTGCAGCTCACAGCGACCTGTGATGCACGCAGTATATCTGTCAAATGTCGCATAAAACGTACAATTTAGAAGTGTAGTTTTGCTTCTACTCCAGCGGTTGCGCGTCGGGGTAATTATTTTAAACATGTTTATTATGTTCTTGTAGACCATTTTGTTTGTGGGTCAACTTGACCATTGATTCTATCTAGTTCCCAGAATATCATAGACATAGATGCGATGAACAGGCTTAATAATACCTCTCATTCCAGGGTATTTTCGTTCTACTTTGTGTTGTTAATGCAATTTTAGATGTTGAACAGGATGAGCAACCAATGAATATTTTTGATAGCCTGCACAGGCTAGTCATTTTCAGGGTCTTCATGTATTAATAACATGTTTAATCCTTTTCCCTGATGTCGTGTAGCAACAAGAACGTATAGTCAAATGAATCAGTTTTGAGCGAAACACGGGCACGGCATGTTCATGTATTTGATTTTACAGCACCGCCAAACTCTCAAAGAGTTGGAATTTCTCGTCGACATGATGCAGTTACAAAGCTAAAAATATCTTCAAGCGACTCCTTCCAAGAAAAAACAGACTGTTTACTTGTATTCGTATGAAATTGAATTTCCTGCCTGCTGCAGCGCCGGTGATTCCTACAAGAAACTCACGAATTTGCGCAGAGTGCTAGTTGATGTGTCCGTCGTCTTCAGCGATGATGTGGTGACTGGCCGGCCTGATTATTCGTGATAATCGATGAAACGCGGGGAAATCGTCTGCGAAGGCCCTCATAAGCTACTATCCCTCCCTTCTGCTGTGCATGCTGAACGGCTCAGACGAACAGAATGAGGGATGAGGGCCTCAACGATCATATGAAAACGTGTTAAAGAAGATGCTGCTTCATAACTACTTTGTCGACGACATTCCTTTTTTCCAGGGACCCAGCGTTAATGAATGTAACTGAAGAACATTACGTGGGCCTTCCTTGCGCAGCATCCACTACGTACGGCACGAGAATCGACAATAAATCATGTTTCCCGTGCGTTTCCTCGACAACCTTGATGGGTTGTCGAAGGGTACGGAAATTTATAAGCGCTTGACGCGGATTCGCGAAAAAAAAGACAGGCATTTGAATCTCGCTTTCTGCAACCTCACGGATTACAGCCTTCCGAACTTCACCGTGTACACGCACCTGACAAAGATTGATCTCGGGTATAACAACCTACAATCGATCCCAGCCGAGGTCTCCATGCTCGAACACCTGGTTGAAATTTTGGCCATGGACAATCCACTTCTTTTATGATTATGACTCCAAATGTAACCAGATGAACATGTTTTTTTTCGTCGAAGGTCGCGTTCGTACACGTATCATCATTTTTGACATTCTTTCACACTAAAATTGTCTTCGTCAAAGTACTTAGTCTGAAAACCACAGTCCTATTTCTGCCGTTTTCTCTAATCTGCTATCATCTTCCTGTAAGCCTGGCTTCTCTTAAGAAGTTGCGCGTGCTGGACGTCAGGAATACGGCAGTTTCGGAAATTCCGCGGGAGTATGCGGAACTGCAGGCCTCGCTCAGAGGTACAAGTCGCTTGTTGAGCGATTCCGCAGTCTCTATCACCAGTAACTCTAGCAACGAAGTTATAATATAGTTTCTTCATTGAATATTAGACTCTTTTCAATGTCCTGCTATCTGTTTTGTTTTCCTGTCTACTCAACGTCGGTTATTTGCTGGCTAGCCTTACATGTCACACACACACCCGAACCCTTGTTTTGGCCTGTTGACGAACTCCCGGTTTGCTTATCCCATATGCTTTGCTTTACTTGGTTTTAATTATATTGACACATACAAAATACAACAAAAAAAATGACGGGTTGACACGGTGCAAGGAATTCGATGCGACACAGGTAAAACAAGCGGATTGTTCTAATGGATATTTGAAATTAAGTTAGTTTAATGATATATATAGTGATATAGGAGCTTTTGTCACACGACAAGCTTGGGATGTCACTGCGGGTGAGCTAGCACCCCTGAGCCGCAGTGGCTCACCGTACCCATGCTTGTGCGAGCACTCATTCTTCGCTGTTCCTTATCTCTTCTTTCTTCCACTCCTTGTAGCTTGCTTTATCTTCCCTTCCCTCAAAAGTGAGACCTCAGGTGGCAGTAGTGTGCACAAACTCCTATATAGATAGTTTAAACTACATTAGTATTTATATTTATATTTAGAACTTACCCTACCCTTCGGCTCTCACCCGTTTCTATAAAACATTGAACTAGTTCAATAATTGGACTAGTTCAATAGTTCAATAGTTCAACTCGAGGCGAGGGGATAAAAAAACTTCCGCCAGATCGAGGGGTGGCTGCCTTGCGATCTGTGCCCGGACTGAGTTGCATTCTCTTCGCTGCGCGAGTGAGTCGGCGCTGCGAGAGCGAGAGCGAGAGCGAGGCAAGCCCGCGCTGCGCGAGCGAGTCCGACCCGCGCGAGCGCGTCCGCGCTGCGCTACTGGGCGGCCCTACTCTGCGCGAGTGAGTCGGCTCGCTCGGCGCGAGAAATAAGCTATGCGCTGCGCGAGCGCGCCGGCGCTGCGCGAGCAAGGAAGCCGGCGGCGCGCGAGCGAGTGGAGTGTGCCCGTTCCGCACGGGCGAGCGAGTCTGCGCGCGCTGCGTGAGAGAGTGAGTAGAGTCCCTCCGCGCGGCGTGGGAGAGTCTGCGTTGAGTGAACGAACGAGCAACGGGCGAGCGAGCGAGTCTGCCCGGCGTGCATGAGTCTGCGCCTCTGCGCGAACGAGTCTGCGCCAGCCTCTGCGCGAAGGAGTCTGCGCCGGGCAGCGCGAGCGAGTCTACATCCTTTGGGCGAGTGAGTCGACGGGCGTGGCGTGGGCTAGCCTGTCTGCGCTGCGTGAGCTTGTCCGCGCTACGCGGGCGGGTCTGCGCTGCGCGGGTGAGTCTGCGCTGCGCGAGCAGTGAGTCCGCGCTGCGCGATCGAGTCTGCTCTGCGCGGGTGAGTCTGGGCAGCGCGAGTGAGTCTGCTTGGGCCGCGCGAGCGAGGGAGTCCGCGCTGCGTGAGTCAGCGGACCTGCGGCTGCGCTGCGCTGCGCGAGCGAGTCTGCGCGGGCGAGTCTGCGTTGCTGCTGCGTGGGTGAGTCTGTGCTTTCTGTGTGAGGGAGCGAGTTCGTTCGTTCCGCTTCTGCGTGAGAAAGTGTGCGCCGCGCGAGCGAGTCTGCGCGCGCTGCGCGAGCGAGTCTGCGCCGCGCGAGCGAGTCGGCGCTGCGCGAGCGAGTCTGCGCTGCGCGGGCGAGTCTGCGCTGCGCGAGCGAGTCTGCGCCGCGCGGGCGAGTCTGCGCTGCGCGAGCGAGTCTGCGCTGCGCGAGCG